AAAAGCTAAAGAGTTTTGGGACATTATTCAGATAGATATCCAAAAAATCCTTAAAATACGAATCAAAAAGAGCCAGAGTTCTTTCTGCTAGGCTTGCTTGACTTTGAAGGAGAAAAAAATAAGGAAAAACTATTTAACTATCTTAAAAATGGAGCTAGAATCGTATTTGCTAGGAAATGGCGAACAAAAGAAACACCCCAAAGGAAAGAATGGCATAACAAAATCTTAGAGATAATGAGCATGGATGAACTAACATACTGGTTAACTTCAAACTAAGGATCACCAAAGAAATGTCCAAATTGGGACCCGGTAAAGGATTACCTTAGGCAATGTAAAATAGAGATTATTATATAAGGAAAAAAGTAAACTACAATCAAAGAATAAACAGCGGGGGAGTGGACTACTTTTTACAAATATAGAAATAAAAGATACTGAAGACCAACGAAAACTAGAGGGAAGTCCACATTTTTTTGTTTCTTTTTTTATCTTATTTTTGCTAGTTCTTTGAGGTTTCTTTTTTCTTCTTTTTTTTTCTCCTTTCCAACACCAATTCTTTTCCTACTGTTCTCTTATCTACAACAACAATGTTCGCCCACTTTCGATGTAACAATTCTATCTCTCTTTCAACTTTATAAAACTCATTAATAAAAATACTTTCAGGAGACCACCAAACGCAGTGTTGCCCAAACACAAATCAAGGAACACGAAAGGCACTGCAGGCTGATTCAGCCAGAGAAGTCAGCCATAGCAGAGCACCTGATAAGCCAACCTGGACACAGCATATTATTTGAGAATACAGGAATGCTTGACCACTTTAACAACCACCATGTCAGACCAAACAGAGAATCCATTGAAATCCACAAGCATGTGGACAATTTCAACAGAAAGGAGGATTTTTTGAAAATGAACAAAATCTGGCTATCAGTATTTTAACAACTCTAAAATCAGGACAGTAAACAATGAGAAAACAGTAAACACTCAGAAAACAGGGGAATTCCAGACAGGAAACAATCAGGGCCAGCTAACACCTCCCAACAAAGGATTTCCCCAGACAAACAGCCAGGATTTGAAGCTGCAAGGCTATTCAGTGCTAATCAAGGTGGCCACTTGCAACATTCACACTTGGCTCAAGCAGACAAGAGTTCTTTCTCCCACCCTGGACATTCCACAGAGATATAAAGCCCACTTGCCTAGTTTCCAACAGACCTCACAACCTCTGAGGGTGCCTCCCATCGATGTGGGTGAAGCATCAGGAGAGAATGCTTTTGAAACATAGCCGAAAAACCCACAGCAACCCAGTGATTTCGGCCATGAAAACCTTTGACAACACAAAAATTTGGCAGTTTTTAATATAGAGTTAAGAATTATTTGCTGTCTTCAAGAGTGCTTGTTCAGCTGTTTCTGGTGCTATGTCACTACTTTGGAAGGTTATGGTACACTAAAGTAATCACATGTGACAAAATCATGCATTTAAAGCATCTAAAACATGGTCACAATTGTTAAAAGTTTAGCTGTGTGTAGCTCAATATAAAATATAGGGCAGCAAGACTGAGCCTGACTACCAGACACATTCACTGAGCTACATGTTTCCCAGGGCTTGATGCGAAGAGAAAAGTAAGGGGCCTGAACCAATAGCTCCGTGGTTCTCAACCTGTGGGTTCCCAGGTGTTTTGGCCTCCAACTCCAAGAAACCCCAGCCAGCTTACCAGGTGTTAGGATTTCTGAGAGTTGAAGGCCAAAACATCTGGGGACCCACAGGTTGAGAACCACTGCAATAGCTTATTCTACAGTCAGATTCCATATGTATTTACCCAGGACTGACATCACGTATATCTATGTGGAACATCCATGCAAACAGTTAAGGTATTATATTTTTATCAGCTATTTTAGCAGCTTCATTCCTATTAGACTGGAATAAATATTAAAATTAATCTTCAAAGAGTCACACTGTAGCACTTGGCTGCTCAATTGAAAAGGCAAGGTAGGGTGGCATTTCATATTCTAATGCAAAGAGTTTGATTAATAAAATCTCAACGAACACCTTTGCATTTTTTTATAAATTACCTTGAAAGCATTCAAAACACGATTAAAATCTGAATCTAACAACATTTGTAAATATGCATCTAATAATACAATAGTGCTTACTGTAAATATAAATCAGAAAAGTTATGCAAGAATATATCTAATACAAAAGGTGATTTTTTACACTACACTATGAAGTGTCACAAACACGGTGTGTTCACTAGTCTTTGCCTCCAGGGGCAGCTCTATATTGTCTAACAATGATGACGTTGCCATGCAATTTCAAAAGGATCTGTATGCATTACAAAATGGGATGCGTTTTGTACTTATACAGATTCATGACTGACATCACAACAATGAATTTTTTTTTGAAAGAGCATGTAATGAGGTAGAATTTTTTAAACAAATCAGTGCATATTAACAGACCAGAGTGAATTTAAGATGAGTTCTGAAACACAGTAATGGACTCTGCTAGAAAAGAGAAGCCATGATTGTTTTCCACCTGCATTTTGAATAATGTCTCTGACTTTTCTTGAAAGACTTCATATCTAGGCATACAAGAGTTCTTTAGGGAATAGGCAAAATGCAGAATGCTGTTGTGTGGGTAGATAATTCAACTTTCTGGTTGCTTCTGCTTTTAAAATGGTCATGTTTCTAGCATTTAATGGTTGCAACGAGGAGAGTGGGCAGCAGGCAAAACCTCAGAAGTCAGTGAGGAAGCTGATTGTCAAGTTGTTGGGAACAGGGTTCAGAGCTCTGGTGCTTCCAGTGCTATCTGAACATTTGAAAATGCCTTCTCCATTTGTCCATGTAGCACAATGGTTCTCAACCTGTGGGTCCCCAGATGTTTTTGGCCTACAACTCTCAGAAATCCCAGCCAGTTTACCAGCGCTTAGGATTTCTGGGAGTTGAAGGCCAAAACATCTGGGGAACCACAGGTTGAGAAACACTGAAGCAGCACATTATTTTGTGCCAAGGTCTGAGGGTGAAGTATTTCACATCACTTACTACCCAAAGTCCTTCAGTGAGTAATGTGTGGGGTATGCCTAGAACAGTTTGCATGCAAAGCATCGAGCTTAATTTACAAGCGACAGTTCGATTCACATCTGAATTATGCAAGGAAATCAATTCCGCAGATTTATTCGATTTGCATAATTTAGACAGGTTGTAAAATACCACTTGAGTGCAGAAATCTACTTTATTGCATGTTATACAAGGAGTACAAAGTTTACTGTTTTAGAAGTGCTTGAAGACTGTGGTCTGCATATTGGAAATCATATAGACATTTCCATATAAAAAGCTTTTCTCATATTGCTAAGTCACAGAGCATAAATGCTATTTTAAGAGCCTACCATCCTGAAGCATTACTTATTGACAGGAAAGTTACATGTAATCTATTTTTACAAGTTTGGAATCTTTTTTCCCCAACCATTGTGTGTATTATAAATTATATAATACATACATGTATTATAAGAAGCCACAGTGGCGCAATGGATTAAATCCTTGTGCCGGCTGAACTGCTGACCTAAATGTCGGCGGTTCATATCTGCAAGAGGGGGTGAACTCCTGTAAACTCCAGCTTCCCATGCAGAGACATGAGAAGTCTCCCACAGGATGGGAAAACATAATGGCTTCCGCAGGGTAACGTCTCTGCAGACAGCCAATTCTCTGGGCAACGTCTATGCAGACGGCCAAGGACTCTTTGTAAGGATAGACTCTTACAAAGAGTCCTTACAATGCAAAATCTTCGGAGTATAGCCCTTTCAAACTCCAGGGTGGTAGTAGAATTGAGTGGGCATCAAAATACATTTTTTTTCATGTCAGAAGCGACTTGAGAAACTGCAAGCTGCTTCTGGTGTGAAAGCAGCTTGCAGTTTCTCAAGTTGCTTCTGACATGAAAAAAATGTATTATGAAACCCAACCCAATTCCACTATCACCCTGGAGTTTGAGAAATGGCTATGCTCTGATGATTTTGCATTGCAAGGACTCTCTGTAAGGGTCTATCGTTTCATTCTTGACTCAGCAGCACCAACTTTTAAAAAACCCACAAAGACTCTTAGCAAAATTACTGAGCTTTCAAATCACCTTATGTGTGGAAAGTATACTGTTTGAACTTAGAAAAGCAACTAAAATCCCCAAAAATGGGACTGCCATCAGCAAGCAGATACACAAACACTTCTGAAAGGCATTGTTCATCTCAAATATAACCTTAGAGAAAGCCAATTTCTAGCTATTTTCTCAAAGAAATAAGTGTTTGGGTATGTTTTTCATGGTGGTTTCCCCTTTAGCACACAAAAAAAGTATTTTTGGAGTTTGTATAAAAAACATGAATCAGTGCCCACACAATTACCTCACTGGTTATCAAGTGTTTGAAAAACTGGAAATGTAATTCAGGACAAAATGAAAAATTTTATGAATGTCAGATGCAGGAAAAAGAAAACATGGATACAGAATGTCAAACCCAGCTGTCACTACACAGGGAAGAATACAATGCATAGAGGCCGGGTTGTCTTTTGCTGGAATCCCCTTTATATAAAATACAGTCCGATGGCTTCTCCTGCATACCATGAAAGTGAGCTCAGTTTTGTAAAATTGAGCTTACAAAAACTCTACCACAACACAATCAGACTTTTATCCATGAAGCTCATCATAGCCTTCTTTCTTATTAAATGTCAACGTTTTCTGAAGACTGGGATACATGAAGTCACAAATGGATATCGATAGATTTTACTGGTGTGGATGCAAAGAAGCAAGAATGAGATGGAGACACTGTTGCCTATTGCACAGGGAGCAGATGCTGAAAGAGGAACACTTAGTTGTACAGCACTATAAGACACCTCTAAGCTCCTCAGCTCTCATGTAGTCCAAGAAGATGAAGCACACACAAACATATGCAGATGCCCAGCTATAGGTGAAGTTCCACCCAGAAATTTCTTTTCCCCAAGAAGGACGTACAAATAGACTATAGTATTTTCCCCCAGAGGAGAACATTTAGTATATTCCATCCTCTCCCAACATTACACTGGCAATGTATGGGTTTACTCTCATTCAGCACTGATCCTGTATGGCAGTGATTCCCAACCCGTGGGTCCCCAGATGTTTTGACCTTCAACTCCCAGAAATCCTAACAGTTGCTAAACTGGCTGGAATTTCTGGGAGTTGTAGGCCAAAACACCTGGGGACCCACAGGTTGAGAACCACTGCTGCATGGAAAGCAAAGAGAGGGCAACATTTAGTGTAAGATGGGAGTGAAGAGGAGGAAATGAGGGGTCAAAACACATATTTGATCCCAGCAAAACCGGCATATTAAAAATAAAGTAATTACCCAACTTTTGAAAACTACAAGGATACATTTTGATAGAACAAGTGAGTATAACTTTTCAAGCATTGAATGAAGGTGATTCCATTTTGGGCAGGAAAAGAAGGAAATGCATATCTTTCTTGTTTGACATCATCCAGTATTAAAAGGGGATATTCATTTAGGTGGGTGTTGTTTTAAGAAATAGTGATCTTAAAAAAAAAAACCAACCCTGAACTATACTTGCCAATATATTTATTAGTCAAATTCTACATAAGAGTTAATATTCCTTGTTATGTTGTGGACTACAGAACTAGCATCTTTGAACTGATTTTAAAAGTTTACCATTTTTGTTTACCTATGGCACTTAATTATTTCTGAAATCAATTTTTTTTCTAAAAAAAATGAATCCTCAATAAGAGCCATTTTCTGGGTCTCCAGACTGTTCAGAGTTTTGTTGATACATAAGCATTTCTCATGAAGATGAGGTTTTATTTTTTCAGACAGGAAGGCTCCAAACAATTTCTAATCTCAAACAGCAGTGACTCTTTGAGTTGCTGGTGCACTTGTGTACACTGCTACATCATCACAAGTCAAAAGATCAGAGTGCTTCTTTCCCAAAATCTCTGCAACATTCTCTTAAACCTGCAGCTCCCTTCCCTTGTCCAAATCAGCAAGGCAAATATCATGACTATTATTCCAATTAAAACGAATCACCTTCCTAGATGATTTCAGGATGCTAAACACAGTGGGATTGAGGCATCATACATTCCCTGCTGGCTCTCTTTGTTGGTTCTATTATAGAAAGGATTCCACATTTATCTATAGCAGTGATTTTATTGAAGTTGCTTCGATCTTTTGCAAACTTTTCCAAAACAGATTATAAAACATTTACAAACAATCAAAGAACTCAGCAAACTGATACCTTTTTTATGGGCCGCTGATCACATCACACTGCAATGAGTGATCCATCTCGAATGCTCAGTTTGACCACTATACTTCAATGGAAACTCAGGGGGCAGGATTCAGAGTTTGATCACTTTCTCGTTTTTAATTTTGAGAGTCAAAGGCCCGCCACTTCCTGCATCTTTTTCCACAGCCAATTTTCTGAACTCAGCCTCTTAATGTTTGACTGATGGAGCAAAGTCACCACAAACACATTCAACAACAGGTCTTGGTGAATAGGTGTGCTATGTACACCTTCCATCAAGAACAAAGCAAAACAGGTTGATGATTACTTGGTTTATTTCACATAAGTATCTGCAGTGGAAAAACATGGTAAAAAGTGTTTTCAATGAATAGCTGCAGGAACAATTCCAAAGGATGTGCCATTATGTTGTTACTGTCAGAGGAGAAAACTTATCTTTCAACAACTTTTTGGCTGAACTTTATATACGGTAAGCTGTGCAACTTACAGCAGGGCCTATATGCACTAGGCCTGCTCATAGATGGAGTAGCATAATTTTGTGACTTTCAAGGCACATCAGTTAAAAGCCAACTAACACTAGTCCCTCTGTAAATTAGAAGAGCACTGAGCAACATTCAATTTGATACTCTGAAACAAAAAAATTTATTCACTCCCCAAGACTTTTTCAATAACAAAGATCCATCAGAGGTTTACCACATAATTCAGCAGCATGTTCTCTTGCACAGGCCTCACTGAACCGTGAGCCTCTTCCAGAGCTTTGACACTTCCAAAGCTCTTATTTATTTTCTTACGCAGAGAACGTCCTGCTAGATTGTGAACCTAAGTGTTCGGGCACTTGCTAAGAGATCAAACAATGCAATTACAAAGGTGCTCCTATACAAGACCTGTGAGGACAAAGCATTAAGTTCTCCAGTTTTTCTTTAGCAACCAAGGAAAAGAAAATGTGCCTCCAGTCTTGGGTGATGGCTGCGCAATGCACAAGGGTACAATTTCTAGATCAGCTAACAAAACTACAGAACAGCAAATGTGATTAAACCATTTTGTTGTGTTGTTCACAAAAACAATAAATGTCTCTGTGGCATGTAGCTAAGGTAGTGTGCAAGAGAACTGTTTCATTATCTAGGTAGAGAAGAAGAAGAAGATACAGCAAAATCTAGAACCCAAGAAGAAACAAGGGTGCTGAAGTCCAGTTCAGGGAAAGACGCACATCAATTCCTCCCAAGCTATTCTTTCCCACAAATAGTCATATAGAAAGACAGGCTTATGAGTGCCACCGTGCTTGATCCAGACAGCAACAGTGGCATCAGTAGGAGCAAAAGGGGAGAATGCACCAAAGTATGATGTGCAAATTCAGAGTCACAACAAACAAATACACACTCATGTAAAGGGCGGGACTGGACCTTTCAATCTTTTCAGGAATTAGAGGAACTCCAAATTTACAAGATTTTTTCTTTAAAAAAAGAACACTCCAACTAAACTGAAGTAATTTAAAAAACAAACACCAGATGTTCCTTTCAAGGCCAGAGGTGCCTAGAACTTTGGCTGATACAAAGAGACGCGACCACTAAGGCACCCAGAGGCAATCTGACAGTGTGTTGGAGAAAACTTGGTGGTCAGGACCACATCGCCATGTGAATAGAGCGAGCGGATCTCTTGTAAGGGGGCCGCTTCTTTGGGCAAGCAGTCCACCAGTTCGCTGCACTGGGTGTCAAACCCCAACAAGCGGATTCCGTAGCCATGTGGGGAGGCAATCATCCTGCCGTCGGGGCTGAAACAGAGTTCTTTGATATAGCCCCGGCCCACGTTGGCTTCTTCAATGCAATGAGTCAATCGGAGGGAACAGCGAGGGGAAATTGGCCGCACAGGGGCTCCCTCTTGGAATTCATAGACACAAGTCCACTGCACAAAGTGGAGAGAAAAACAAAAGTCAATCCAGACCAGCATGATGAATTCACCACACACATCTCTGCACAGGATCACAACTGTAAGGAAACAAGTGATGCCTTGATAGAAGACAAAAAGCTTTTCTCAGAAAGAACCAACTGCCCTCCCCTTCTGTATGTTTTTTTTTTAATATTTCAGGTGAACACTCAGGTTTCATTTATTTATCAAGGCCACAGAATACCCTGCTTGGATTACCAACCTAATACACAGAAGAGTGTCTTCTTAGTGGTTGCTCCCTAATTGCAGATCTCACTTTCAAAAAATATAAATATAAGAATGCAAGTGTAACAAAAGAATATACCTTAATTTGCCATGTAATTGTCACTACTGCATATTCTGTGCACCTCTCTTTTTTTTGGCTCCAAAAATTGACTTCCAATCTTTCTTCGCAAAGAAAGATTCTGTCCTTCCTTCTGTCCTTCCTTCCTTCTCCAAAAGCAAAAATTAAAAAAAGAACTTAGATCTCCCCTCCTTTCTCCAAAGAGCTCCATTTCCGATTTTGTAAACTGCCTTGCCTTTGGAGAAAGAAGGAAGAGAGGAGAAATCTATTCCTTCCTCCTTTCTTCCAGGCAAGGCAGTTTAAAAAAACAAACAAATAGAAAGGGAACTTCTTGTTTGAGGCTCGATATGAGTCCTCTTCCTCCTGTCTGAAGGTGAGGCAGTTTATTTTTATTTTTCTAAAAAAACAGATTTTTAAGTAAAAAAAACCCACACAGAAATGGGAGAATCAAAAACTTTTTTTCATTGGGTAATATTTGCAGCAGGTTAAACCACTGAGCTGCTGAACTTGCTGGGTGAAAGGTTGGCGGTTTCAAATCTGGGAAGCGGGTTGAGCTCCCGCTGTTAACCCTAGTTTCTGCCAACCTAACAGTTTGAAAACATACAAAGGTGAGTGAATCAATAGGCACTGCTTTGGCAGGAAGGTAATGGTGCTCCATGCAGTTATGCTGGCCACATGACCTTGGAAGTATCTATGGACAATACCGGCACTTCGGCTTAGAAATGGAGATGAGCACCACCCCACAGAGTCGGACTCTCAACTAGACTTAATTATCAAGGGGAAATATTTAGCTTTTAATATCTGTACCCCCTTGGGGGGGGGGGTCAAAAAGAGATAAAGTGCAACTCTTATGTGATGGAATATGGTAAATGTAACAAAAAACAAACATGGCTGAACTGGAAAAACTCAATTCCATGGGAAATCGGAGTGCTCACTTGAAACATTAAAAAATGCAAAAAAGCATCCATGTGGTCTTTTAACCAGCAAGTAAATACCTTTCTATTTAAAGATGCATTTGTTTGTACACTGCGTTAGATTCCATATTGAGAGAAAGGCAGGATATAATATATATATTAAATAATAACATACATTTTAAAACATTGTAAAGCCCATATGATGGCCATTGCCACAACCCATGGACTCGTAATATCTTTCAACATGCACTGGGTACTGCAATAGTTCAGACAAAGACTGGGAAGACAAAGGTTCAGCCATAAAGTTCACTCAGTGACCTCAAACCAGTCACTACCTCTAAGCCTATTATACCTCACAGGTCTGTTGCGAGGATAGTAATGCCACCCTGTTTTGTTTGGAGGAACAAAAAGCAAACATCACGACTGAATATGAAGACCAAGTATGCATGTGTTGTTTCAACTGGCTGTGGCTATTGCTCAAATTTAGATCTATAGATAATAATAATTAATAATAATAAAACTTTATTTGTACCCCGCTACCATCTCCCCAGGGACTCGGTGCGGCTTACATGAGGCCAAGCCCACAGCACATCATAAACAAGGCAATAACAAATAATTAATACAAACAGTTAAAATAAAGAGATCACACAAAACCATAAAATTACATTTCTAATAACTTATCAGCAGAGTAACAGTTCACTGCTATCCCTCCAAGAAACTTAACAGCAAAAGGAAACTCCAATGTCTCTTCAAGAGAACAATCTGGTGCCCTCTACTCCCACTATGGTTTACCTCTTGGTCATCAGTGTTACTTGAGCATCGGAGAAGTGCAGCCCACCCTTTGGGATGCAGCTGCAGTGAAGTGATGCAGTTTCCCCGATCCCTCTCTCCAGGAACCTCTGGAGTTAAAACCTCAAGGCTATTGCGTGGAGATCCACCTGTGAGAAGGGAAAGTACCATTGAAAATCACTGTCTTCTCTCCAGACCCAATTTGCATAACAGAAACAGGAACAGAAGCACCAGGGGGTGAGTTGCAATCACTCAGTCACACAACTGAGGCCATCAAACAATGAACATGGATATCAATGAATCAGCCTACCGAATGCTAAACAGGCGTGACTAGATTAATTTTATTTTACCAGAAAACATGACAAATCTCTCTCTCTCTCTCTCTCTCCAGTATGTAGGATACCCTGTTTGCAATACCAACTTGCTTCTGCTCTGTGTTTTAACGCACCTTCTCGCTGGGTGGCTCGTACCGTGTGTTTCTCAGACATGGAGCTTGAATCTCCCTGATGACCTGGTGACCCAGAACTCCTAGGTCCAGATGAGGTGGCAGATGTCAGATCTGAGAATGGAAAAGCAGTATTATGTACATCCCTACAATAGTGTATTAGCTAAAAGGATCTCATTTCTTTTCTGCAGAGGTCTCCTAATGTCATAATCTAATGATCTTCTTTAAGAGTTTTCTTCTTCTTGCAATATTTGTCAATAATGTCATAGTTGGGATTCAACCACATCCTGTACAAGCTTGTGGTCCCCATCAAGGACTAGACAGGCAAATGAGCTAGTTGGTAAAGAAAAGCTCTTTGCCTGTCTCCCTTTTTCTCCTCCTTTCCTATTAGACTGATCCATCTCAGGGACATACCTCCTTTTCTGAGCACACAGCAAACCTGAGCCCTCCATTTTTTTTGTTCTTCTCCTTTGAGTATGTCTGCTGTGAGTTAAGATAGCTGAACCCTGTTAACTTTCCTGTCTAGATTTGTAGTTCTTTGAATAAAGTCTTTTATTAACTTTTAAAGTTTGGCTCTACTCCTGAATTGCTGAAACTCAATCTCTCTACTGTTGGCCCTAGAACAGTGGTTTTCAACTTAGGATCTCCAGATATTTTTTGCCTTCAACTCCCAGAAATCCTAACAGCTGGTAAACTGGCTGGGATTTCTGGGAGTTGTAGGCCAAAAACATCTGGGGACCCCAGGTTGAGAACCACTGCCCTAGAAGCTTCTGATCTAATGAACTGCTGCTACTCGTCATGTGCATTCGGGCCAAAGGCATACCGTTTTTGGGTCCGTTTTCATCTGATTCCTCATTTTGTTTACTAAAAAGTTACCCAAAAGAGGAGGGGTGTTTTCTGTTTCATTCAGCAGAGATTCAGCCCATGGGCTAAAATGGGAAACTTTAAAGGATCAATCCTCTGCCATTTTAAAGCCTATCTGCATGAAACCCACCTCAGTTGTAGACCCCATTTAGACCTGCCAAGTTTCAAAACATTTCACCACTCTACTGATTTTTAAAGAATTATTTTAAGTTTTAAACATAACATTTTTTAAAACAATACAACCTGCAAGAGAGGGTTCTGGGAATTGTAGTTGCCAGGTGTGTCTATTCTCAGCCAGAGCATGGGCACCAACAGGCTTTTTATTGGCTGAGAGACACACAGGGAGAAAAAAAAACTTCAACTCCCATCATGTTCCCTATGGCCACCCTATGCAAGTGACAGTGGGAAAATGAGTTCCAAGGGCGCTCTCTGGAGGAGGAGGGAACTTTCTAAGAAAAAATGGAGGAGGTTTCTCCTGCCGGGGAGAGAAAAAGACTCTGCAGATCCCCCTGCCTCAGGTATTTTGTGGACTTAACTCTTTCCAAAAATATCATCTCTTTGAATTTGTTTCACTGGTCTTTTCCTCACACTCCTCCCCTTTCTGTTTTTAAAAATTACACGAAAATGGCCATCTGAAAACTACCATTTAATTAACAGTGATTCAGGTCCAACTCTAGTTGCTACTGCTATTGTTACTGCGTTACCATTTTGAATGCTTTTTCTTTTATGAAAATTTCACCCCCAACAGTCATTACATATTTTTAAGTCACATTGTTCACTGAAATAATTACTTGTTCTAGTTAGCCTTAGAGCAGGAACAGTGTAGAGATTTTTAAAGGCTACAAACATCTACAAAGCAGCAACGTGACTGATTGTGCTTGAAGGATTCCCAAACACCCAGAAGCAGAACTTTAAAGAAAAGATTTGGCAAAACATTCCTGAAAGGGACTTTGACGCATCATTACCACTGACTTTTTCCTCCAATAAGTGCCAATAGAAACCACTGGATGCATGAAGCATATCCAGTTGATTTTGGGTCATGGAGAGCCACAAACTGGGAGCACAAGTGCACCTTGAATGTTTTCCTAATTCTTTTGCAACTTTTGGTGGCTCTTAGGGTTGGCGAATTGATTCATCACAAGCAGCATGGATTCCCGACTGTAGCTATCTTTTGCTACACACAGAAATAGTCCATGTGATAATGGTCTTTTACTCTGATGCACGGACTCACCTGAATTGGATGTGGTTCTCCTGGCTCTCAAAATGGGGTAACTGACAACCTCTAAAGATTTGGTTAAATCAAGATCATGAAGGATCAGGAGATACCCAGAGGAAGTTGAGATCAGCATTTTGGAACAATCTGGGGTCAATCTCATGCGCATGAGAAAGCGGGTGTGAAAGAACTTCTTATGGGGGCAGCCATCTTCTGTGCACCTGCAGACCGAGACATATCAAACCATGACCACAGTCACACTTTATTTCTAAGAATCTCATTCCCAGACCTATGCTGAAGGTGTCATTTAAAACATGTATAAATGCCTGTGCTGTCCCCTCTGTCTCCACCTCAAGAAATACAATCAAAAGAATGGGTTGTTTATATTTTGGCAATGGTAGTAGGGCAGGTACTGTTTCCCTCAAGGTTTTCCAAACCCACTGGGTTTTCAAAAAATTATTGTTACAAATACACCTTTTAAAAATTATTCATTTATTAATGCCTAGACCAGTGATGTCAAACTGGTGGCCTTCCTGGTGTTTTGGACTTCAGCTCCTAGAATTCCTAGCCATTGGACAAGCTGGCTGAGGCTTCTGGAAGTTAGGTGCCCAAACATCTGGAGGTCCACAAGTTTGACACCACTGGCCTAGCCCATAGGTCATTTGCATTTGCACAAACACATACAATATGTAAAAAGGCAACAATATAAAAGGATATAAAAGAGCAACAATATTAAACATGATGGTACTGCACAAAACAATGTGCATAAAAGTCTTGCCTATTAAAATTCAATAGCGTTAAGATACAATGTAATAAGATTAAAGATAAAATTCTTTAGTGAAGAGCATTCGCATGACAGTCAACTCCAATAAGTTGAGCCCAAACTTTCATTGCTGTAAAGGTGAAGAAAGAAACCTTGCAAACAACCATAGAATTGGTGACTCACATGACATTTTTCACAATTCAAAATATTTCCTCACCCTCTTGAGGGAATATTATGAGGGTAATTCCACCATATTTTTGTACCCAGTGAACTGTTTTGGATTCAAGAGAGGTCATTCTTCAAACCTAGAAGTAAATTTTGATTTTATTTCCTAGTTTGGAAAAGGGCCCTGTTGGTCTTAAAATAGTTGTGTGTGTGTGCAAAAATACAGCATAATTTCCCCTTCCACCCTGAAGGCAGCACAGTCTAGTAAGGAGTCTGCATGGTCCTTGGATCTCAGGTACCTATCCAGAACCAAGTCTGTACAACCCAAGTACTATAAATACCATGCCTGTACGCAGCTGGAAAGTTTGGAAATAAAATAAAGAGGAATGGGCATCTTCAAAATTTTAGTTTGAGAAAGGCACACAGTGCCAAAGTTTGTTACCTGTTGGTATCCCAAATGATAACGTTCCCATCAAATCCAGATGTGACTAACAATCTTGTGTTAGTGTCATATTCAATGTTCTTGACCCAGCTGGTGTGACCATGTAAAGTGCACACTTTTGAATCCAACTTTCTCAGATCCCAAAGTGCTATGGTAGTGTCGTCAGAACATGTTGCAAACAGCCTGTTATCAAGAAACCTGCAAATAAAATGGGAAGGATGAGAGGACACATCGCATACTGAAATTCAGACCAAATCAAAATGCAGCTCTTGGGTGACACCAACGGATATCTACAGTGATGGGATTTCTGAAGAATGCTAACTATGAAATAAAAGAAGTGGACACAAAGACTGATGTTGCTGTCATCGAGATGGAATATTTGGGAGCAAGCAGTTGAAAAGAAATTCAGGTGAAACATTTACACATTTGCCATTCTCCTACATTTGGAAGGGCTTCACAGTTTTGTCAATGTGTGTCATTACTAAACTCTAAAACAAGTATTCATGGTCATATATTTTGAATGTTAATAAAAGGATCTCACATATTCAAAACATACCTGATCTGTAACTAGGAAGATTTGGAGTGACCTGACACACACTGAACCCAGAATAGAGCATGTCATACGGCGTCAGGTTTTTCCTCAACAGAAATGTGGACAGGAATTGGATGAAAATGCCAGATGCTACAACCACACAGTAGTTTATGTTCTAAATTTTAAGACCAAGGTTCAGATCTCACTTAGCTATAGCCATGTAAGCTTTATGTTTACCTCATCTTTCCATACCATTTACTATGTGACAATGATAATACTGATCTAATTTTAAGGTATTTATTTGTTTATTGTTTGCATTTGCATCCTGCCTTTCTTCCAGAATGGGATTCAAGGAGCTGTGGAATAAGTTTAAAAATATACCTTACAAGATACAGTTATTTTACAAAACACTAAAAAACGAATTAAATATGCCAAAAATACTTATAACACTTAATATATTTTATAAGGATAACTGGGATAAAGTGGGAAAAGTGATCTTAACAAAACAACAAAAAGCCCTACAGATACAGATTTAAGTATTAAATTTAAAAGTAAAGGTTTCCTCTGACTTTAAGTCTAGTTGTGTCCGACTCTGGAGGGTGGTGCTTATCTTCGTTTCCAAGCCAAAGAGGTGGTGTTGTCCATGGACACCTCCAAGGTCATGTGGTCAGCATGACTGCATGGAGCACCATTACCTTCCCACAGAAGCGGCACCTATTGATCTACTCACATTTGCATGTTTTCGAAGTTAGGTTGCAGAAGCTGGGGCTAACAGCAGGAACTCACTCCGTTCCCTGGATTCGAACAGCTGACCTTTTGGTCAGCAAGTTCAGCAGCTCAGTGGTTTAATCCGCTGCACACCAGGGGCCCCTAAATATTCAATTATGCATTTGCAATTCTTTCTCAGACACACACATACTTATGGCAAAGAGATAAAACTACAGAACATTTTAATGGTCCCTAAGTTTTACTATCCTTATTTCAGACTTTCAAAAGCCATCTTTCTTCCACCTACGGGGACATCCTGCCATTAATTCTCTCAAAGCGATACTGATTCACCCTGATAATCTTAAGGTCCTGAGCAAAATCCCAGAATACCTAAGTAGCTTAAATAGTTGGATGGGAGAGCTGTTATCTCTAAGACTCACTGTGGAAATGTGACACCAAATACCAAAGAGCTCATTAGCAGACATGCATACCATAGACAACTTCAGAGTTTCAAGAAAAAATCTCAGAGGAATAGATGCATGTTTCTACTGCAGCAACTACACACAGCAACAACTTCTGCCTTATAGCACTTCAAAACTTTTTTAAAAACCACAACACCCTTCAGCTATTATTTATTTATTTATTTATTTGTGATATTTATATACTGCCCTTCTCAATCCTGAAGGACATTCAGGGTGGTTCACAGTGTTGGCAACAATTCAATGCCAACGATAAAAGCAGTATAAAACATTAAAATTGACCCTCCCAGGTAAAATATTAAACATTATTAAACACATGACGTAAAATGACATCACCTATCACAGAGAGACATAGCCGTTGTCCATAAACCGTCCTGAGTCATTAGACTTTCAGCTTTCAGTTTAACTTTAAATATTTCTATGACGGGCTGAATGCTTGGTTCCACAGCTAGGTCTTTAGCTGTCTCCTAAAGGTTAGGAGGGAGGGGGCCAACCTGATCTCACTCGGGAGGGAGTTCCACAGCCATGGGGCAACTACTGAGAAGGCCCTGTCCCTCGTCCCTCGTCCCCACTAACTGCAAGGCCAGTGGGGCCGAGAGCAGGACCTCCCCAGAAGATCTTAATCTACGAACTGGTTCATAGAGGGAGATACGTTCGGAGAGGTAAGTTGGACCGGAGCCATATAAAACTTTTTATATTCCTCAAGATACCAAAGCTAAGAGCTAAGTGTTCCCTCCAGTCAGAGAAAGGACTGAAATCCAGTACAGGCTCAAGCTCAGAGAATGAGGGGTGAGTTTAGGGAGTGAAACCGTCTACCCCAGGGGTCCACAAACTTTTTAAACGGAGGGCCAGGTCACAGTCCCTCAAACTGTTGGAGGGCTGGATTATAATTTGAACATGAATTCCTATGCTCACTGCACATATCTTATTTGTAGTGTATAAACACTTAAAAACAATACAATAATTAAAATGAAGAACAATGTTAACAAATATAAACTTATTAGTGTTTCAATGGGAAATGTGGCCCTGCTTTTGGCTGACGAGATAGGATTGTTGTTGTTGTTATGTGCTTTCAAGTCGTTTCAGACTTAGGTTGACCCTGAGCAAGGGCCAGGTAAATGACCCTGGAGGGCCGCATCCGGCCCCCGGGCCTTAGTTTGAGGACCCCTGGTCTACCCCATCATTCCTCCCCAGGCACAGAATTTCTGTGGGCTGGGGATGATGGAACTTGAGCACATGGCAGTTGTCTTTGGAGTGTGCATGTGGGGGGTGGTGGATGGCGTTCAAGCTCCCTCCCCATTATGAGGGACTTGTTACCCATGCAAGACTCAAGAAGCAATCCCACATGGAGAAAGAGGGCTGACCGTAGTATGATGTATCATATTTCCTACTGAGGGGAGCAGCAACAACAAAAGAACTTATTTGGATGTCATTATAAGTTCCAGCCTCCCCATCGACATTTTCAGAACCAAAGAAAACTGTTACTGGAATTTTAGACATCTGTCCTAACCTGATATTATTTACACAGTCCTCATGAGCCGTCGAGAGAGTTTTGATGTGCTTTGAAGAGATAGGATCAAAGAGTAGGACTTCCGTCTGTTCACAAGCCACTGTTAGGACTGACCTGGATAGGAAAGAAAATGCAGCAGGGTGTTATGCACAAAGAAACTCAACACCCTCTCCTAAGACTGAAAGGCATACACATATATGGAGGTGAGAACAAGGTACTGGATCAGGGATCTTCCTTACATGTGCATAAAGGCTTTACTCATGGAAGTTGTATCTGATCAGTTTTCAAGACATTTTCCTCCCACTGTCATTGCACCAAGCTTAAGACATCCAGGAGCTTACATTTCCCAGCTTCCTGAGTAGTTTGTTCTCTGGGGCTGTGTAAGGACACTTGCTTCAGCCAGCCTAAATCTGGATCTAACCGAAGAAGAAATGCTTTAAGGACAGGGATACTCCCTAGAGAACAGTCCGTAGAATTTCTACAGAGGCACACATCTCTGGCAGAGAAGCTCCTTTTACAAAGTCTTGTTAGCCCACCTACAATAAAAGTTCAGCTGGGGAAAGGTGGGATTCTACTTTTGCTGGGTCTGCCAAAGCCATGTGTGTCTGCCTAAAACAGGAAAAGTGAGCAGAAGCTGCCTCCATAATCCTTTAATGAATATGCATGGTCAGCATAATAGAGAAACATGGGGAGAGCAGATAAGCTTGACTCAATAGTTACCCCCCAGCGTATTAAAAAGAAAATCATACATCCAGAAGTCACCAAAATTGAAATCATAAGCCAAGCTGAGACTGTGAAAAAAAAAACATCAGCTATTTCAATGAAGCTTTCAAGTGGTCCCTAGGAAGTTCAAAATGTTTTTATTTATGCAATGTTGACTTGTACCTGGTTGTTCTGTTCCACATGTGCATAATATTAGTTTTGAAAAAAAGAAAACACTGAACTGCTTTTCTTTTATTGTGGTACAGGAACCTATTCTTATTCTTTCAATTTTAATCCTTTCTCTGGTATCACATTTTCTGTTACACTTGGCAACGCATCAGTTTGGCTAACTAAGACATATCTGAATACAAGACATTTTAACAAGAAGCAAAACTTGTTGGTTCATTTATACCCAACACTGTCGTTTGAGAGTCAAGCAGCCTTTGTGGCTTGAAGCATTTTTTATCAACTTCGGTAGCATTCATAGTACTGGTTGAGAAAACATAATTGCTGCGCCAGACAACAGACACAACTTTATTTCTGACAATCATATGCTAAAGGCAAGCAGTAAAATATATGATTTCAACTAGCCAAGTACTCTAAACAAACAGGAATAGAAATTAATGCAAAAGTAAAACTATCCCATTGCTATATCAAGTGGGACCAAGCAATACTTCATTTATGTTTCAAGGAGTCGCAAAGCATCTAAATGTGGGCGGGCGTATTCCTGAATGGCAATCAACAGATTTGTATGTCAGCTTTTTGTGCCAAATCGTAAAACCAGCCCATTTAATGAGACAAAAAGTACTACTTTGAGGCATTTCAGAGCATTTTTTTCTATAAATGCAAAAATTTACTCAGAAATGCCAACATTTGCTCAGAAATTAAAAAGCTGGTCTGTCTGGGGTGATTGTGGTAGTCATGCAATGCTGGGGAGAAAAAAAAACCAAGAAATATATAAATGTAAAACACTTTGTATTAACCCAGGGGTCCTCAAACTAAGGCTTCGCACAAGGTCAACCTAAGTCTGAAACGACTTAAAAGCACACAACAACAGCCCTATCTCATCAGCCAAAAGCAGGTCCACATTTCCTATAGAAATACTAATAACTTTATATTTGTTAAAATTGTTCTTCATTTTAATTATTGTATTGTTTAAAGTGGTTTTTGCACTACAAATAAGAAATGTGCAGTGTGCATAGGAATTCATTCATGTTTTTTTCAAATTATAATCTGGCCCTCCAACAGTTTGAAAGACTGTGACCTGGCCCTCTGTTTAAAAAGTTTGAGGACCCCTGTATTAACCTCCTAATTCCAATGCACCACAAATTTGCTTATAATGTACACCCCCTTTTCTTATGATCAGATCTCATGATGTATTTTGATGTGATATGAATCAATGTGGAATAAACGGCCATACTAAGGAGAAATCTTTCTGGAAGCATTGCATGACTACCACAATCACCCTTTACAAACAGTGGGAACATATAGAAAAGCAAGTGGGCTTTCAACCAAACCATATAGATAACAATAATAGTAATAATAATAATAATAATAATAAAATTTTATTTGTATCCCACCACCATCCCCCAAAAAGGGTCTCAAGGTGGCTTACAAAATAGCACATATCATGCCATAACATATCCATAATAATAAAAATTACAATGTCAATGAACATAAATAACTTACAAAAATTCCGACAATCTCACTCAAATTCAAGAAAACACTCAATAAAACATAGCAATAGCTGCTAATTTAAAATGGGTAATACAATTAAGTTTAACATCCCAGCCACAATACAAGATAAAAACATTAAAGTTCCATAGTTGGTATCAGTATTGTTTAGTCATCTTGTTAGCAATTATCCTAGCCATTATCAAAGACTTGTTTGAAAAGCCAAGTTTTCAAGTTAACCTTACAGAGTGGGAGCTTGCCTAATCTCTCTGGGGAAGGTGTTCCAAAGCTGGGGGGGGGGAGGGGGGGGCTTTCTGTCAAAAAGTGCTGGTGCCTCACTAAACTACAACAAGTCCACAAGGGTCCGAGCAGGTGTCCCCCAGCATCACCATCTGGGTACGATCCCCCAGGAAGGAGTGGAGTCACTGCAGAGCAGTGCCCCCAAGACCCATTCTGGAGAGTTGGCCCAGAAGGTTACCATGGTCGATGGTATCAAAACCATACTCCCTCACATGTCCTAATAGTCTCACCCTCATTTTTGCTGTTCCTCACATAATAGTTGTACCCTTCATTCACTCATCCATGCACCTGCCCCCTTTGCAGGTATGGAACTTCACTTGGCGAGTGAGCATTCTTTTTAACAAACTGGAAAATTACTACATGTATGAAGCTGTATAAAAACATAGCCATCTTAAAAATACTAGGAAATAGGGGACAGGGGGCGAGAGAGAAACACAGGCAACTAACTGGCAGTAATGCAGCTATTTGAGAACTGGCAGAGAAGACAAGGAACCTTTCTGTCTTCTTTGATTTTACTTTTAAAGGCAGTAAATAAGGGATGATCCTCTGAAAAGCAAAGGTGTAAGTTGAGTATCCCTTATCAGAAATGCTTGGATCAGAAGTGGTTTGGAGTTAGGATTTGCATGCTTTTAGGATTTGCATGCTTTTGTGTATGAAATGAAGTTAATGTACACTGAATCGTCAGAAAGATGAGGGATGCTGGTTAAAATAACCCAGCTGGTTCAATTATTGAAGAAGGCAGTGTACTTCCAGTATTGTAGTCAAGAATCCTGGATTATTCTAATGCCCATGTTTATTGGATGCAGTGTGCATTGTGGAAAAAAATATTATCAGAGGGATTTGCTTGTGTGCATTCAAGTTGTTTCCAGTTATGGTGATTGTAAAGAGACCCTCATGGGGTTTTCTCGGCAAGCTTTATTCAGAGGGGATTTGACTGTCTCTGTGGCTGTCTCCAAGATCATACAGAGGGTTTCCACTCACGGCCCAAACCACTGAAACCCCCGCAGGAAGATATACAAGATACACAGTCTTTTTCATTGTGCTTAGAGATCACATTAAATGCAAGTGGATGGAGAACACCTTACACAAGTTCACTAGTGGACAAGAATGCTGCAGAAAACCAATGAAACCAACGCAGCAATTTGTAAGTAGTGGAGTTAACAAGGGGCTTGAAGCCTCCCTCTCAAGTTGGTGAAACACCTACAGCAGAAGATCATTCATACTAGAAAGTTTCACAACCTGTAATATTGTGCATGCCTTAAAAGAAATGTATGGAAACTATAATGGAAAAGACTTGACCTCTTCCCTGGAAATATTTCTACAGAAGCTCTTTCACTGTTCAAGTAAAAATAGTGGGAAATCTTAAGCCTGTAGACAAACTTAAATCCAGAGCAAAGGGGGCAATAGCAGCTAAAAACTCATTTCTCCAAATCCACCATCATTACAATTTAAACCCCAGTACAAGATCTTCCAAAACTGCCTCGGTGTCTGTCACATGCATGCAACTATAACTTGGGTGCTGTCACCTTAATTTGTTTAGGAGCACAGTCATGGCTCAATGTTACAGGATTATGGGATTTGTAGTTCACTGAAGCGCCAGAACTCTTTGGCAGAGAAGGCTAAAGGCAACAACTCCCGTGATTCCTTAGCACTGAACCCTGGCAGTTAAAGTGGTATCAAACTGCATTCATTCTACAGGGTAGGTGCACATTTAGTTTAGGAAAGCTTATCCTACCAAATCTGTTCTTTCAGGGCCCTTCCAGACAGGCCCTATATCCCAGGATCAGGTTCCAGGTTTTCTGTTTATTCCAGATTATCTGGCAGTGGGGACTCATATAATCTAGTTTAAAGCAGAAAACTTGGGATCAGATCCTGTGATATAGGGCCTGTCTGGATGGGCCCTCAATTAGTCCCAATGTGCTACAAGATCCCTCTGCTTTTAGCATTATTCACTGCTTTTGTTGACTCTTTTAAGAGATAAAAGTGGGATGTAAATAAATATTAACAATAATATCATTTGCTAAGAAATTCATTTTGGGGATAAAGAATATAATATAGTAATATAATATAATAAACTTTATTTGTAACCCGCCCTATCTCCCTAAAGGGACTCAGAGTGGTTTCCAGACAAAAAGTGGCAAACATTTAATGTCATAATAACAAATAAACCAAATACATAATCAAATGATACATAAAATAAACATCAATGTGAACTTATAATAATAATCAATCAAGCAAATAAATACTTAAGGCCTCATCATCCACAGTCACATCATGATAAAATCTCAATAAATTACAATGATGAAGATGTTATGTTAAAAATGATATACCACAGTCAACACCAAAGTGGATTTCCTGTGTCCAACGGGTTTACATATAGCATACAGATCGCCCCCTGTATGTATGGATCAGTTATCCACGATTCAACTACCCATGGCTTGAAAAAACCCGTCCCTCCCAAATTTCTTTAAAGAAAAAAAATGCTTTTTTATATAATGGGCAATAGGATTGGATATCCACAGGAGGTCTTGAAACCAAACCTCAGCTGATAGCAAGGGCCCACTGTACTGAAATGAAAGTTGCTTAGAGCAGTGTTTCCCAAACCTTTTCAGTTGTGCAACCTTTCAGAAGACATTTATTTTCCACATAACCCTACCCCTGTTTCTTTAATCAACATATATTCTAATTCAAATAAATCTCACAATTTACAATATGACTTCTAGTGTTTGAATAAATTTTGTTCAGAAGTTTTATGAATAAAATCCCAACATCCCAAATGTGGAGCTTGTTTCCAAAAGATACCAAGTTCATCTGAACAAATTTTACAGGAATTGAAAACAAATTACAGATATGCTACCGGGCCCAATTTAAGGTGCTGGTGTTATCCTACAAAGCCCTAAACGGTTCCGGCCCAAAATACCTTTCGGACCGCATCTCGGCCTATGAGCCCACGAGGACCTTGAGATCGTCTGGGGAGGCCCTTCTCTCGATCCCGCCTGCCTCACAGGCACGTCTGGCGGGGACGAGAGAAAGGGCCTTCTCGGTGGTGGCCCCCCGGCTGTGGAACGACCTCCCTGCTGACATCAGACAGGCGCCCTCCCTTCTGTCCTTCCGTAAGAGCCTGAAGACCTGGCTATTTGAGAAGGCATTCAACTGAGCGCTACGGCAACTGGTAATTGACAACTGGAACGGAATACGGATTACGATATTGGTTATGATTCTATGATGTGACGGAGCAGATTATTTAGTGTAACTAGATTATAGTGTATTATTGTTGTATTGATTTCCTGTTTTGCCCTTTTGTAAACTGTTTTTATATGTTGTGCACCGCCGCGAGTCGCCCTAGGGCTGAGAGCGGCGGTCAATAAATGCAGTAAATAAATAAAATAAATAAATAAATATGTATCTTTTTGCTATAAAATGCAATTTTCCAAGACCTATGCTGAAGCGATTTGAAACATTTTGATAGTTTTCAGCTGTACGTAATATTCTACTTGGAGTCAACAATGTGCTGCCACTTACAACTCATTTTTCAATTTTTTGGATTTAGTACTTTTTGGAAAAAAAGACTCCAAAATGTTTTTTTTAATCTCACAATCTGTACAAGAGAAATACTCAAAAAGGAAATGGGGAATCAATGTAAAAATTGACAATGTAAGAACCATTCCAGTTGTACATAGTTGACCTTATATGGTTTTATTTTTAAAAGTGTTTTCAATTTGATTTGAAAGATTTTTTTTGGAGGAAGCCCTATGATACTTAAGTGGAACCTTGGGTCTCATGGAATACAGTTTGGAAATGACTGATTTAGGCCCCATTTTCAGTGCCCTATACTGCAGTTTGAAAGAGCCATCTATAATGCCCTATAATGTAGTTTGAAAGAGACACTAGCTGTTTCATACAATGCCATTTGAAATAGCCATCTATACTGCCCTATAATGAAGTCTGAAAGAGCCAACGACAGTATCCTATAATGCATTCTGAAAGACCTATCTTCAGTGACATAAAATGCTTTACAGTGCCCTATAACGTAATTTGTAAGACCACCTACAGTGCCATATAATACAGTTTGAAAGCGTTATCTTCAGTGCTACATAATGCAATTTGCAAGAACCACCTACAGTGCATAACAAACTCTCTTCCAACAACCTAAAAGACGGCTGTGGTGTTGGAGGAAAGTGCTGAGAGTACCTTGGACAGCAAGAAGATCCAAGCAGTCCATACTTCAAGAAATAAAGCCTGACTGTTTATTGCAGGGAAGAATAGTAGAAACAAAGATGAAGTACTTTGGCCACATCATGAGAAGACAGGAAAGCTTAGAGAAGACAATGATGCTGGGGAAAATGGAAGGAAAAAGGAAGACCAAGGGCAAGATGGATGGATGGTATCCTTGAAGTGACTGGATTGACCTTGAAGGAGCTGGGGGTGGTGACAGCCAACAGGGAGCTCTGGTGTGGGCTGGTCCATGAAGTCATGAAGAGTTGGAAACGACTGAATGAATGAACAGTGCCTTATAACATCATAGAATCATAGAATCAAAGAGTTGGAAGAGACCTCATGGGCCATCCAGTCCAACCCCTGCCAGGAAGCAGGAATATTGCATTCAAATCACCCCTGACAGATGGCCATCCAGCCTCTGTTTAAAAGCTTCCAAAGAAGGAGCCTCCAACACACTCCGGAGCAGAGAGTTCCACTGCTGAATGGCTCTCACAGTCAGGAAGTTCTTCCTTAATGTTCAGATGGAATCTCCTCTCTTGTAGTTTGAAGCCATTGTTCCGCGTCCTAGTCTCCAGGGAAGCAGAAAACAAGCTTGCTCCCTCCTCCCTGTGGCTTCCTCTCACATATTTATACATGGCTATCATATCTCCTCTCAGCCTCTTCTTCAGGCTAAACATGCCCAGCTCCTTAAGCCGCTCCTCATAGGGCTTGTTCTCCAGACCCTTGATCATTTTAGTAGCCCTCCTCTGGACACATTCCAGCTTGTCAATATCTCTCTTGAATTGTGGTGCCCAGAATTGGACACAATATTCCAGATGTGGTCTAACCAAAGTGGAATAGAGGGTAGCATTACTTCCCTAGATCTAGACACATCATTTGAAAGAGTCTTATAATGCAGATTGAGTCATCTTCAGTGCCATATAATGCATTCTGAAACATCTATTTTCAATGACATATACAGTTGAGCAGTTTGAAAGTGTCATCTATAAAGTCCTATAACGCCATTTGCAAGAGCCACCTACAGTGCCCTATAATTTCCCTTCCGAGGGGTAGATTTCTCTCCTTTCCTGTTGTCTCACCCTTGTTCTTAACTGTGAGATGTTTGTAAGTCGGGAGTTTGTAACTTGGGGACTGCCTGTATAGTGTCGGAATACACTCATTAAAGATACGTGTAGCCTGCAGAAGAGGAGGCTGAGAGGAGACATGATAGCCATGTATATTTTCATTGCTATCTCATCCAGTTTTTTATCATTTTGTTGTGCATTTGGCCCACCCACTGTGTTTTATTTCCCATTATGTTATTTTGTACTGTTTATTTTACTTGATTGGTTTATTTATTTTATTGTGATGTTATTTTGTTGTTTATATTTTATGTTGCTGTAATGCAGGGGTCCTCAAACTAAGGCCCAGGGGCTGGATATGACCCTCCAAGGTCATTTACCTGGCCCTTACTCAGGGTCAACCTAAGTCTGAAATGACTTGAAAGCACACAACAACAACAACAACAACAACAATCCTATCACATCAGCCAAAAGCAGGCCCACACTTTATTATTATTATTATTATTATTATTATTATTATTGAACTTTATTTGTACCCCGCTAGCATCTCCCGAAGGACTCGATGCGGCTTACAAAGGTCAAGGCCTCAATACACAACATAACAATACACTTAAAGCAAATTAAAAACTATTAAAGCATTATTAAACAACAAGAATCACAAGCAATAAACAATACATCAAACAAGATAAAAACTGGGCCAGAGTGAGGGGTACAAGATTAAAAAGTGCTGATGTGGCAGGTGATATGTAAGGATTACTCATAAGTTTATATTTGTTAGAATTGTTCTTCATTTTAATTATTGTATTGTTTTTAAGTGTTTTTTTGGACTACAAATAAGATATGATGTGCAGCGTGCATAGGAATTCATTCATATTTTTTTCAAATTATAATCTGCCCCTCCAATAGTTTGGGTGACTGTGACCTGGCCCTCTGTTTAAAAAGTTTGAGGACCTTTGCTGTAATGTATCACTGGGCTTGGCCTCATGTAAGCCGCTCCGAGTCCCATTTGGGGAGATAGATTATTATTATTATTATTATTATTATTATTACAGGATGTCAATAAGGAGGAAGGAGCAGGCTTGTTCATTTCTGCTGCCTTGGAGACTAGGGCACAATGAAGCAATGGGCGAAGTAACTGGAAAAAGATTCCACTTGAGCATTAGAAAGAACTTCCTGGCTGTGGGAGCTGTTCAGCAGTGGAACTCACTGCCCCGGGGTCTGTTAGAGGCTCCTTCTTTGGAGGCTTTGAAACAGAGGCTGGGTGGGCATCTGCCGGGGGTGCTTTGATAGTGCCCTTCCCACCTCTCGGGTGGGTGCTACGCCAGCCCTTACCCTCCGGGGGAGTACTCGAGGTTGAAGACGGCGCCGTGGGTGCGGGTGATGGGGGAGACGGAGTCGGCGGGCTGGATGGCGCCGTAGAGGCCCGTCATGGCCCCGAAGGTCTCCCTGGCCGGCTCCACGCAGCGCCCCCCGCGGCCCAGCTGCCGCCCGCGCACCCAGCCGAACAGGCCCTCCCCGCCCGACAACGACGAGGAGCCCGAGCAGGAGCCGGCGGCGGCGGAGGAGGAGGCGGCGGCAGCAGTGCCGGCGGGCAGGGAGTCCAAGGGGGCGGCGGCGGCGGGCGGCGGGGGCGAGGGGGGCCGCGGGGAGGGCGGCGGCGAGGGCGGCGGCAAGGACAAGGACGGGCCCCCGGAGCCCTGGGCCAGCGGCGCCCGCCCGCGCCCCGCGCCCCTGCGCGCCCTCCAGCTCATCCCGAGCCCGGCGCCGCCTCTCCGCGCCGCATTCCTCCGGCCCCCCGCCGCCGCCTTCCCCACTTCCGGTGCCGAGAGCGCCCGCCAAGAGGCGCCGGGCGGAAACAGGCGCCCGCCGCTAAGGGTCCGTCGCCATTCCTGCCCTACCAGGTGGGAGAACAGCGCCCCCTTTGGCGAGGAGGAGAAGAAGGAGCAGCACCAGAAGAAGGAGCACCAGAAGAAGTAGCAGCACAAGAAGGAGCAGCAGAAGAAGGAGAAGCAGAAGAAGTAGCAGCACAAGAAGGAGCAGCAGGAGAAGCAGAAGCAGCAACACCAGAAGAAGAAGAAGTAACAGCACCAGAAGAAGAAGAAGCAGCAGCACCAGAAGAAGGAGCAGCAGCAGAAGGAGAAGCAGAAGTATAGACTACTGCAATGCGCTCTACGAATAGACTAGACTACTGCAATGCGCTCTACGTGGGGTTGCCCTTGAAGACTGTTCGGAAACTTCAACTAGTCCAGCGAGCGGCAGCCAGATTGCTCACCTGAGCGACATACAGGGAGCATACCACCCCCCTGCTGTGCCAGCTCCACTGGCTGCCGATTCAGTTCCGAGCATAATTCAAGGTGCTGGTTTTGACCTACAAAACCCTGTACGGTTCCGGTCCAGCGTATCTGTCCAAACGTATCTCCCTCTACGTCCCACCTCGGAGTCTGAGATCATCTGGGGAGGCCCTGCTCTCGACCCCACCACTGTCACAAGTGAGGCTGGTGGGGACGAGGAGCAGGGCCTTCTCAGTGGTGGCCCCTCACCTGTGGAACTCACTCCGGGGAAATCAGGGCATCATCATCCCTCCTCGCCTTTAGGAGAAGGGTGAAGACTTGGTTATGGGACCAGGCCTTTGGGCACTCCGGCAATTAAATCAGACAACCAGGCGAGTAAGACCAGCAGGATTGATGAAGTGGAACGTAAAACTAGATCTATGAGTAGTGAACGCTGACCATGTAAGAGGAGAAACTGGGTTTGTATTTGGTTTTATTGATTTTATTGATTTTATGGTTATAATGTATATTTGGTGTTAACTGTGTATTGATGTAATTTTGTGTTTGATTGTTTTTATGATGCAGGCAACAAATTGTGCCTTGCTTTTGTAAGCTGCCCTGAGTCCCCTTCGGGGTGAGAAAAGAACCCCAAATAAATAAACAAACAAATAAATAAATAAATAAGTAGCAGCACCAGAAGAAGAAGCAGAAGAAGTAGCAGCACCAGAAGAAGGAGCAGATGCAGAAGCACAAGAAGAAACAGAAGCAGCAGCAGCAACAACAGAAGAAGATGAAGCAGCAGAGGCAGAAGTGTACAGCAATCCCCCCCTCCCACTGTGTGTATATGTGATGTCACAGCGAAAGAAAGAAAAGAGACATGTGCATGAGAGGGAGGGAGAAAAGAAGGAAAAGACAGGAAAGAAGGGAGGAAGATAGCAATGGCCTGAAGGACCCAATCTGCACCATCAAATGGAAACATTAAAACAGGCAACCACAAACTCTGGCCCTCCAGCTGTTTGGGCCTCCAACTCTCAGAAGCCCTAACAAATTTGTTCAATTGTCAGGAATTCTGCAATTGAAGGCTCAAACAACTTGAGGGCCGCAGTTGTAGGATGCCTGCATTAAAAAAGGAGGAATCTGAAATAAAGCAGCCGTTTACTCTGCACTTCCCATTCTCCCCTCTCTTCCCATATTCTTGACAGCCTGAGAAATATTGGGAAATACGTATCTTTATCCTATCAGGGTGGAGTCCACAAAAATCTCTTGGAACTCTGTTCCCCAAAAACAGAAGTTTGCTCACTTCTCTTAAGGGTTTTCAATGGAATCGCACTGTATGGATGGCCTTTCATTACTCATCCAACTAGCCTTGTGTTTCTTGTTTGCTGTTACAGCAAAGGACTGAGGAGGAACTGCCGGAAGAATTCACTATTCTCAAAGCCATTGGAATAATAGAATCGTAGTTGGAAGAGAACTCGTGGGCCATCCAATCCCCTGCCAAGAAGCAGGAAAATTGCATTCAAAGTACTCCTGACAGATGGCCATCCAGCCTCTGTTTAAAAGCCCCCAAAGAAGGAGCCTCCACCACACTCCGAGGCAGAGAGTTCCACTGCTGAACAGCTCTCACAGTCAGGAAGTTCTTCCTGATGTTCAGATGGAATCTCCTTTCTTGTAGTTTGAAGCCATTGTTCCACATTCTAGTCTCCAGGACAGCAGAAAACAAGCTTGCTCCCTCCTCCCTATGACTTCCTCTCACATATTTATACATGGCCTTCATCATATCTCCTCTCAGCCTTCTCTGCTTCAGGTTGAACATGCCCAGCTCCTTAAGCTACTCCTCATAGGGCTTGTTCTCCAGACCCTTGATCATTTTAGTCACCCTCCTCTGGATACCTTCCAGCTTGTCAACATCTCCCTTAAACTGTGGTGCCCAGAACTGGACACAGTATTCCAGTTGTGGTCTGACCAAGGCAGAATAGAGGGGTAGCATGACTTCCCTGGATTTAGACAATATACTCCTATTGATGCAGGCAAAAATCCCATTGGCTTTTTTTGCCATCGGATCACGTTGTTGGCAAGCGTATTGAACACACTACTTCTGCATTGTATTACTGTTTTATGTACTTACTAGTATAGAATATTATACCATGGAACCTTTTGCAATAAAAGTCTACTTTCACATTACATCCCAATATAGATGTTAAAAGCTAGATTCATTTATATGTTACATTAATAGGTACTCTATGAAGAATTGACTAACAACTACTAACAATATATCAGCTGTGCAAAGTATGGACTAAACAAGGTTGACTTTACTGGTGTTGATGAAAAATGCAAGATTTGGGACAGAATTAAAGAATGAAGTAGCTTATGCGTGTTGTACCTGCCTCTAGGCAGCTCAAGTCTCTCTGAATTCTGAACAGTAGGCAGACTCAACAATATCAGACCAACCCATTGAAAAACTGAGTATTAAAACAAGTTGAGAGATATGAGGGGAAAAGCAAATGTAAGAACAAAGTTTACAGTATATTATTGAAGATGGTAATGATGATGTTTGTGTGGATTTTACTGGCAATCAAAATTAATTTTTCCATATGTAGCATTCAATACATTGGACAAGAGTATGGTACAGCATTTTAAAAAGCAAGGCTTGCACATTCACCTTTCCTTACAAGTGTCATGAAATATGTAGACCTTAATGTTAGCAATGTCAGCCTTCATATCTGTTTAGTTTTACTATATTTATGGTCTGGAACCATTCAGATGGAAATGCTTGTGTGAAGATTTACGACAAGACCAACAGAGCAGAGATTATATTCCTATTTATTTCGCACCCTCCTTTATTTGTATCGCCAGAACAGATTTAAAGGAAGCAAAACAATTAACATGTAAATACATAATTTTAAATTATTAAGCTATACAATAACAGACAGAATGATTAAAATTTCTTCTAAAATGCATGAAAATGTACAAAAAATTTATTTGTCCCAGCTTCAATCAATCAAGTGGGCACCTGCTTTTTGGAGGAAATGATAAAGATTTCTTCCTAAATATCTTTTCCAGTGTTTGAGTAAAAATCCTCCCCAGGTTTTGATCAATAAAATGTTTTCTGCTACAAGTAAGTGCTGGGCCAGTTAGACTTTATATGGGCAAACCCTGTAGTAACTGGTAGATTATAGTAAAATTACAATCAAACAAGCTGAGGAGCCAGTGTCTGATCTTCAGAGTACTTCATTTCAGTTGGTTCCCTACTGGAAAGCCACGCAGAAATACAGATGAAAGCTAAGTAGACTTCCCTTCTCATTTGCAACCTATATCTTTTCTTTTTCTGTCTTTGCAACTTTTATACCACAATGAGCCCAGATTGGCCTCCATGTTGAGAGTCCAGTATTCCTGCAAAAATCTGGTTGCCAGCAAGCTTAATTAGGATGATTTGGTGTCCTGTTTTTCCTTTGGTACTCTTCCCATGGAGAAGAATTCTGGGTTTGGCTTCATGTCTGTGAAGTGAGCGACGCGATTTGCCATGGCAAAGAAGGCTGTAATGGTGGCGATATCCCAGGCATCATCTCGGTCAAATCCCTGAGCCTCTAACTTCTGAAAATGCTCTTCGGTGATATTCTCTGCTTGACAGACAGCTAACGCAAATTCAATCATGGCCTGCTCTCGAGCATCGAGGTCCGCCATCTTCCAATTCACGATGACCTGCACACAAAACAAGCAAAGCTACAGCATATTACACACTCTGACCTAGGCAATACAACACTTGAATATTATTATTATTATTATTATTATTATTATTAACTGGCCTCTGGAATTCCCTTCCTTGCTGCCTTTCTGGCGGCAGTCTACAACCTTTATTTTCAGGCAGGTTTTAAAGCAGGCATGCTGTGAAGTGTTTTCTCTATGTGAATATGTTTTCAATTGATGTTAATGGTTTTAACTGTTTATTTTAATAATTTCAATATTTGAATTCTATTTCAATGTTTATATGTTTTCTTAAGTTTTAAACTATTGTATTTCTAGGTTGTCGTGAGTTTTCCAGATTGTGTGGCCATGTTCCAGAAACAGGGCTGTAGCTCGGGGGGGGGGGGGGGTTAAAATTCAACCCTGCCCTGAAATGTGTCAGGTTAAAAAAGAAACCTGGTTTACTCATAACGTGATTAACCAGTTACAATTCTTGAGTACACCAGGTTTGGGGCTGGTGGTGTTAGAACCCTTAAACCCCTGTCCAGAAGCATTCTCTCCTGACATTTCACCCACATCTATGGCAGGCATCCTCAGAGGTTGCGGATGCCTGCCATACATGCAGGCGAAAGGTCAGGAGAGAATGCTTCTGGAACATGGCCATACAACCCAGAAAATTCATAGCAACCCAGTGATTTTGGCCATGAAAGCCTTTGACAACATATTGTATTGCTTTTACTGTTAGCCACTTTGGGTCTCTTTTGTTAGAGAGATAAGGCAGGATACTACAATGAGACCTAACCAAAAAAAAAAGCTGACTCGTTCTAAAAGATTTAAGGGTGCATGTGGAGTGTGTGAATCATTTTCGAAGCTGATCAGTGCTTCAAGGGGCACTGATCAGCCTTGCTTGTACTGCCACATCATGCTGCTTTTTTGTGCTGCTGCACCACTCCACTTCAGCCTTCAACTGACAGCTTTCTGTTGCACAATAAGTTCTTTGCTGAATTAAGCAGTACATATGTCAAAAACACATCCCCTCCAAAAAAGTAAAGAAAGAAAAGAGGGAAAGAGCCAAGAAAGAAAGATTTGTGAACTGACCTGATCAGCTAGAGTTGGTTTCTTGGAATATATCCGATGCAAAGCACCGTGCGCGGTGACGCAGTAGGGACACTTGTTGACAATGCTTGTAGCCACAATAATGAGCTCCTTATCCGCAGTGCTTAGGTTGCCTATGGGGCAAAAGACACGCAAAAGGCAAGTCATATTCCTAGAGTAATCTCACAGTTTGTTTAAAGATAATAGGCTTATGCTCTCGTGAGATCTTTAACATCTCTATGAAGGTGCAGGGATAGCCCAACAGAGGAATTTTTAGTCAGCTCCAAAGGCTTTCATAGTTATACTAGCCATTTCCTGCCATGCGTTGCTGTGGCCCAGTCTGTGTCTATGTGTTTTGTATGTGTATATATGCGTTTATGTGTGTGCATATATTTGTGAATATGTGTATATCTGTATGTTTGTGTATATATGTGGTTCTGCGCATGCATTGTAATGTATTTTTTGGTTTTTGGCTTTTTAAGTCTCTTCTGTGTTTTTCAGTGTTTTTATGAGTGATGGTCACTCATTGGCCTGATAGGTGTATTGTGTCCAAATTTGGTGTCAATTCGTCCAGTGGTTTTTGAGTTATGTTAATCCCACAAACGAACATTACATTCACACCTAGCTCCAGCAGACAAGAGTCCTTTGAATTGTCGAAGGCTTTCATGGCTGGAATCACTCAGTTCTTGTGGGTTTTTTTGGGCTATATGGCCATGTTCTAGAGGCATTTCTCCTGACGTCCTTTGTCTCACCCTGGTCATTCCACAAACCCTTTTCCTAGTTCCAACAGACCTCACTACCTCTGAGGATGCTTGCCATAGATGCAGGCGAAACGTCAGGAGAGAATGCCTCTAGACCATGGCTATATAGCCCGAAAAAACCTACAACAACCCATTACATTTTTATTTATATAGATTTCTCATCTGACCCCATAGTTCAATAATATTATTTGCATGCATGTAGAAGATCAATGTGCTCAAGTGATGGATGAAAAATGACTTTGAAGTATCTAATGCACATGTGTCAGACTCAAGGCAGCCATGTCATTTTATGTGGTCCTCCAGATACTGGACTGCAACTCCTGTATTCTTCATAATTAGATATCATGACTACAGCAGATGGGAGTTGTGATACAGTGATATCTGGAAAGCTACCTTTTGTTCAGCTTAGAACAGTGGGGTTAAGATATGAGGCTTGGGAAAAGGATGCCTGACTTTAAAATGTCCTTTAAGCTTTGCCCAACCTCTGAGCCACAAGTGCTGTTGGGTTGCAATTCTCATTGTCCCCAGTCCACCTGGCAGATAATTAAAAGTGATGGGAACTGCCATTCAATAACAAATTGGGTAAGAACTAATGAACACTGACAGCTATGTAAAAATATATAGTTACCCTTCTATATCTACAGATTCTCCATCCATGGATTCAATGACCCTTTGAAGGCAACCATAAGGCTAATGTAGCTCTTGGTTATAATGAATCTGATACCCCTGATTTGATGCTTCAGTGACAGGGGACAAGTCTTTTCTCATCTTCGGTTCTCACACTGGAAAGTGCCTTGCTGATTTGATACATGCGGAACATGCTATAGAGTCCTCTTCTTTTCACCATGGTCATCCAGTCAGTTGTCTGCAGTAAACCATTGACATGCAGCATGTCATGTGACAAGAAGGAAAAAAATGGAGCATTCTAGAAGATGAATTATTTTTGTACCAAGAGGACCAATGCAATATGTGGCAAGAATGTAAAATCAATGGAAATAGATGGTTGCTCCTTTTTACTCCTACTGATAGGCTCAAGAAAGGATACCAGTTTGTTAGTGCCATATAATTCCATCAATGACCAGTGGTTTATTACAGTGATATTAGGAAATATATTTTCACAGTCTCCACATCTGGTTCCTTTTCTTACCTGATTCCTTGTTCATGATGGCATTGTAGTAAGCAAAGAAGGCTCTGAATTCAGCTGGTCGATGAGACATCACTTTAAACACATTAGGTAAAAAACCACTCTGTGAATTAATTAAAAAAAACCACAATAAGACACTTGAAATTCACAACTAAAAGCTCTTATGGATGGGCCAATACTTCTGGTAAGAGTTGGGATATTATTTTCAGGATTTTATTTATTTATTATTTATTTACAGTATTTATATCCCACCCTTCTCCCCTGTAGGGGACTCGGAGTGGCCTTACAAAAGGCAGCAATTCAATGCCATATCATTAAATTAAATTTTAAATTAAAATTAACAAATATAAAACAAACATATACATTAAAACATAGATTTAAGAGTCATATAAAAATTAAAACACATTATATAAACACACAATCTGAGATCATGAGCAAAAAGCCATTCCAGTTTTTATTGCACATTTTCCATCTTCACTTATTTCTCAGCACTACTGGCCAAAGGCTTGGTCTCAGTTTTTACTTGCTTTCTAAAGGATAGGAGGGAGCTGACTTGATTTTGCTGGGGGAGGAGAGTTCCATAGCCAAGGGGCCACCACTGAGAAGGCCCTGTCCCTTATCCCCATCAATCGCACCTGGGAAGGAGGTGAAACCGAGAGCAAGACCTCCCGGCTTCTACACCTTGTGAAAGATTTTACACCTTGTGAAAGAAAGAAACCCCTATGAAATTCATGAGGTTGTAATATACTGATAGATTCCTTGAAGGGACATATTCACACAATGGCCATAGAGGTAAATTGCTTTAATGCTTAGCACTGGAGCAAGAAAAAAGAGAAGAAAATATAAGTAATGCTCTGAAAGCAGTAGTATTTGCATAGTAACTAGAAATAATGTGAGAGAAGGAAGGTTCAAAGAAAAGCTTCACGGTACAGATCAAACAGTCATAGAACATGCCATCAACGGGACTGCCCAGAAGGAGGAATGCAAAAAGAGATGAATACAAATGTGACTTTTACCCTTGCCACGACTGGATAGACTCCCCTCAACCTGAGTTTTAAAAGTCCTAGCTAGTCCCCGAAATTCAAAAGAAAATAAGAGTGGGGCAGAATTTTGTACTTAGCCTTCGTTTATTTAATTTCTCCCAATAAATACAAATACAACTCTGACCAAGCCACATATCTTTTGGACAATCTAGAGGAGCCCTACATTAAATTACCATGCAATGCTAATACTATTTACCAAAGCCTTGCTAGGCGGCTTTGAAAACACAGGATCAGAATTCCTTAAATGAGACAAATGTAAGTTCTAGGATCAAATGAAAATGATCATGCAGCCATTTTACTCTGTCATCCACCAAGGAAAGGTACGCAACTGTCTCCAGCAAAACACCAACTCACGCATGGCTTCTTAAACTTTTTTATTTGTGACTCCTTCGACTTGTGAAATTTTTACATGCTCCTGGACATATACTGTAGGTACATAAAATGGGTATACAAATTGAACGTTAACTGGTAATAAGTCAGCATTCACAAGGCTTGCTAAACAGGCAGGGCGACTTTCCTTTTTTCTGGAGTGCAGCGGAAGCATTTTCTGCAGAGTCCACTGTAAACACTACATGTTGCACGGCAGGGGGTTGGACTAGATTGCCCATGTGGTCTCTTTCAACACTAAGTTTCTATTATTCTAGCAGATTTGTGTAAAAGGGTGTCATTCAGAAACCTTTGAAGTGTTTTTGTGACCCCAACATTGTAGGGGTCAGGGCCCGCAGTTTAAGAAGCAGTGCTGTAGGCCTCCCAAAGGTTCCTGCAAAGATGGAGGTATATAAACAACGGCTGCTCCCAGATATTTGAAAATAAAAAATCCAAAAGTTACTCGGATCTGATCTGTTTGTGATGTGCCACATGACATCAAAACAAAAACATTCACTTTTGTTCGCAATGTTTTTCTTTTTGCTTCAAACACGTGCTATGTAAACTACATTGAAGTGAAAAGAACAAACTCTGGACTCAGTCCTAGCCAGATGCTGAGAAACGATAAGTTTGTTGTTTTTGTCAACCCACGGAGAGAGACATTCCTACCTTTACTTCTACTTCCTCCATGAGCTCTGCAATATCATACGGCAAATCCTTCTTATTGGGTATTGGATAGCGCCCAACAGACTTGTCTGTGTTTCCTCTCTCGGTGCTGTACGCATGGTTCAAGACCACTCTTTGAGGCCTTCCCCATAAAGTCCCTGATGGATTCTGAGAATGAAGCTGGGAGACAAAACGAAAGAAAAAAGTCCCATTTGTCAAGGTATAGTCTCGGGTTGATTTAAAACTACAATCCCAAGGATTTCATAATGCCAAGTAGTGTGAAATTGCATTAGTTCTACAATGTAGACCAGAGCTTTCCAAACATTTCATGTTGGTGACACACCTTTTTAGTCAGTTTTACCAGCAAACCAGAGGTTAAACCAACCCCTTATAAGAGATTCGTCCAATGGGCCTTGAGTTTGACACATGTGCTGTACTAACGTGTCACAACAGTTTGCTCTAATGCAGATGTACGCATAAGTAAGGATGGGGTTAGGTGTTTTCTGGAAGGTAATCCGGTTCTATCAGGAAGGAAAGTGAGCCCATAGACTCTAGCAGCAGTTGCCAGGGGCAAGAAGGCCAGCAATGATCCGCCTGAGCAGTCCCCTCTGTTACATGCAATCCTTGACTTACAAACATCCCACCTACAAATGACTCTTGGTTAAGACCAGGGCTGAGACATCAGGAAGTGAATTTCAGAAGGGAAAGGCACTCCTGAAAGAGTTGTCATGGGGAAAAGAGGTCTCCACTGAACCTTTATCACCAATCCTTGTTTCCATAACAAGCCACATTTTCCAAAATGCAATTATCACAGGGACAGAAAGTGTGGTAAATCTTCTGAACAAGGGCACAAACAGCAAAACAAACACCACAGGGGTGTAAACCCTTCCGTATGCAATCTAAATACATAATATGTTGTTGTTGTTGTTGTTTGAAACACAACAAGATGAGTCCACAGCAGACAAGATCACTCTGCTGGCTGTTGTAGTGGATCACACGTCGGACACTTCCCAAGTGTCTAGGACTGTGTGATGTATCGGTGAATAATGCATGCAGATCCCAGTAAAGTGGCCTTCTGCAGCTGACAGATGGTAATTTTGTCAGCGCCGATTCTGTTTAAGTGCAGGCCAAGGTCTTCAGGCACTGCACCCAGTGTGCCAATCACCACTGGGACCACCTTGACTGGCTTGTGCCAGTGTCTTTGCAGTTCAATTTTTAAATCCTCATATCATGTAAGCTTTTCCAGTTGCTTCTCGTCAATTCTGCTATCACCTGGGATGGCAACATCAACAATCCATACTTTTTTTTCCGGCTCACACCGTCATCTCCATTTCTAAGCTGCAGAGCCAGCATTGTCCATAGACACCTCCTAGGACATGTGGTCAGCATGACTGCATGGAGTGCCGTTACCTTCCCACTGGAGCAGTACCTATTGATCTACTCACATTTGCATATTTTCAAACTGCTAAGTTGGCAGAAACTGGGGCTAACAGTGGGAGCTCACACTGTTATCTCCATTTCTATGCCGAAGAGCCGGTGTTGTCCATAGACACCTCCAAGGTCATGTGGCCAGCATGACTGCATGGAGTGCCGTTACCTTCCCACCATAGCGGTCCCTATTGATCTACTCACATTTGCATGGTTTCGAACTACTAGGTTGGCAGAAGCTGGGGCTAACAACGGGAGCTCACCCCGTCCTGAGGATTCAAACCACCCAGCAAGTTCAGCACCTCAGCAGTTTAACCCGCTGCACCACCAGCTCAATCTGCATTACATGGGTCATGTAATGTGTATCAAAGTGTATCCTATGGTAGTCTAGATCCAGCCAGTCCTGTAGCATGAATGCACTTTTGACACCACTTTCACTGCCCTAGAGCCACTGGACTTGTAGTTTTGCAAGGTCTTTGGTGCACCCAGCTACACTCAAGTACCACTGAGCCATGGCAGTGACAGATGGGGTGCCCCCTCCCTGCCTGCTTCCCAAGAAGAGGGCAATGGGGCTACTCACAGGCAGGGGACGAGGCTGGCGGAGCTGGAGGAGCCCGGCGAGGAGAAGGCGCTTCATGGGGCTGCTTTCTGGAGGCAAGGAGCTAGGAAGAAGGAAGGAGAGCAGGGGCTGGGGCGGAGGAGGAAGAGGAGGAAGGAGTGCGCATGCGCGGAACACGCCCCTCCTCGCCCAGCCCCGCTGTAGAACCACTCACAGTGTGACTCCCCTTGGCTCCGTCCAGGCCATGACCCCAGCATTCCAGGGCAGTCAAAGCGGTGCCAAACCGCGTTCGTTCTACAGTGTAGGCGCACCCTATGGTTGGAATGGCAGCTGCTCTCCAAAGCTTCAGGGTGGATACTTCTGTGATATAATTACCAATATGACCACTCATATTAGCAGTTCATTATAATCCTGCCCACACACAAGTATTGCACATTCAGCCTAGTTCTTTCCAGTGTTTCCAAAATAATCCCTGCAAGTCAGGGATGTGTTATTGCCCCAACCTTATTTTCCATCCTCATCGCTATGATACTTCATCTTGTTGACAGGAAGCTTCCTGCCGGAGTGGAAATCATCTATTGGAGAGATGGCAAGCTGTTTAACCTCAGCAGACTGAAAGGCAAAGCCAAGGTTACAACAACATCTGGTATAGAACTCCAGTATGCTGATGATAACGTCGTCTGTGCACATTCAGAATAAGACCTACAAGCCACTCTAAACACCTTTGCAGAAGCATACGAGAAGCTCAGCCTGTCATTGAACATTGAGGAAACCAAAGTGGTCTTCCAGCAGTCACCAGCCAATTCTTCTCCAATTTCAGAAATACAGCTTAATGGTGTAACATTAGAAAATGTTGACCATTTCTGCTACCTTGGCAGCCACCTCTCCACAAAAATCAACATTGACACTGAAATACAACACTGCCTGAGCTCTGCGAGTGCAGATTTTTTTCCGAATGAAGCAGAGAGTATTTGAGGACTGGGACATCCATAGGGATACCAAGGTGCTTGTTTAGAACGCTATTGTCCTCCCAACCTCCCTCCCTGCGAGACGTGGACTGTCTACAGACATCACATGCAACTCCTGGAACGATTCCATCAGCGCTGCCTCTGGAAAATCTTGCAAATCTCTTGGGAAGACAAGCAGACAAATGTCAGCGTGCTGGAAGAAGCAAAGACCACCAGCATTGAAGCGATGGTCCTCCGCCATCAACTCCACTGGACCGGCCACGTTGTCCGGATGCCCGACCATCGTCTCCCAAAGCAGTTGCTCTACTCCGAACTCAAGAACGGAAAACAGAATGTTGGAGGACAGGAATAGAGATTTAAAGATGGCTCAAAGCCAACCTTAACAACTCTGGCATAGTCACTGAGAACTGGGAAGCCCTGGCCCTTGACCGCTCCAGCTGGAAGTCAGCTGTGACCAGCAGTGCTGTAGAATTAGAAGAGGCACGAATGGAGGGCGAAAGAGAGAAATGTGCCCAGAGGAAGGCGCGTCAAGCCAACCCCGACCGGGACCGCCTTCCACCTGGAAACCAATGCCCTCACTGTGGGAGAAGATGCAGATCAAGAATAGGGCTCAATAGTCATCTACAGACCCACCACCAGGACACCAATCTTGGAAGACAATCCTACTCAGACAACGACGGATCACTTAAGTAACTAAGTAAAACCCTGTCCACACAAGTATTGCAAATTCAGCCTAGTTTTTTCCAATGTTTCCAAAATAATGCCTGCAAGTCACCTACCTTTACAAAGCCTACAAGGTCTTCTCTTATTCCTGTCACAATAACAAGAGAGCAGTGAATGACACTGGTCCATGTGGGCACGAACCTTACAGAGAGTGATAACTGTTTTGAGGTACTCATATCCTAATTTCATCCGTCAAAACAAAGACGATAGATACCTACTTTCCATACCCAACGTACCTTCACCCCTCCTTTTATAATACGCACAGATACATCAATGATTGACATCTTCTTTTTGATGTATCGTATAAAAATATTTTTAAAAACCCAAAGAAACACAGTGATGCATTGCATCTTTCAACAATTTTTGACTATTTTGTCACCACAAATGCCTGTTAGTTCATTTTGTATTTGAGGACTAGTATACTGGGCATTCACAGCTGCAGTTTTGAGATGACTTTTCAGGTCGCTTCCACTATATTGGCTAGTGTTGCTATTGCAATATAACTTGGCGGAAAGGTAGGCAAGGACAGTGTGAATAAATTATCAAAATTTGGTTGCAGTTCTGGAGGAACTCTATTTTTTGCTTCTCATAGACTTAGCATGGGGATTTAGTTAACCATTTACAATTCATGAGTAAACTAGGTTTTTTTAACCTGAAAAAGGGGGTGAAACCTTTAAACACCCCCCCCCCCTGCCCGGGCGGGCTACGGACTTGTGTGTGGATATATCCTGTCTGCATCTTTCTTGTAACAATGTGAGGACCTTTTTTGGTGTGGAGTATCCAAGTTGGAACGCTTCCATGACACACTTATGTTCCTTCTAAGGCATTTCCTTTAGACATTCAGGTTCTCTCTACTGTACCAAAGGTCTCTCTGGGTTTTTCCACCCAAATGCCTGATGGCTTTTTTGTCCGGAGGCACTGTTTCTATTTAATCTCCCTCCCTCTCTTTTTCTTTGCTGGTGTCATTCACTGCTCTCTTTTCTTCTTCTGCATGTGTGCAGATGGCATACATTTTCAATGTGCAACACATGGTGCTACACAGGGAAAGATATTAGAGGCAAAGATGAAGTATTTTGGCGACATCATGAGAAGACAGGAAAGCTTGGAGAAGAGAATGATGCTGGGAAAATGGAAGGAAAAAGGAAGAGGGGCTGACCAAAGACAAGATGCTGCCCTTTAAGTGACTGGCTTGACCTTGAAGGAGCTGGGGATGGCGACGATTGATAGGGAGCTCAGGCATGGGCTGGTCCATGAAGTCATGAAGAGTCGGAAGCGACTGAACGAATAAACAACAACAACACATTTATTTATTTCCTATATTTTACCCCGCCCTTCTCACTCTCGAGGGGGGATTCAGGACGGCCTCACAAAAGCACCATAGGGTGTCGGCATCATTAAAACAATCATCAATACATTAAAATATTAAAAACAGTAATTAGACAATTTATTAAAAACATGCTTGTTAAAATCGGAATCCAAAATCCAGAGTCCAAAGTCTAGTCCGGGTCAATTCATTATCTTAAAATTTCTTCCACTTGCTGTTATTACTGGTCGAACGCTTGGTCCCGTAGCCAGGTCTTAAGTTTCCTTCTGAAAGACAGGAGGGAAGTGGCCACTCTGATGTCCCTGGGGAGGGAGTTCCACAGAAAGGGGGCAAATGCAGAGAAGGCCCTGTCCCTCGTCCACACCAATCACGTTTGCGATGGCAGTGGGATCGAGAGAAAGGCCTCTCCGGATGATCTTAAATTTTGTGATGGTTCATAACAGGAGATATGTTCGGACAGGTAGTCTGGGCCAGAACCGTTTAGGGCTTTAAAGGTTAAAACCAGCACTTTGAATTGTGCTTGGAAGCTGATCGGCAGCCAGTGGATTTATGTGAATTTATGAATATGAATTTATATGAATTTATATCCGGCTTCCTCTCTCCCAAAGGAGACTCAAATGACTACCACTAAAAATCAAACAATAAATGTGCTGTTGATTTTAAATTTAGAGAGTGGTTTGTGAATCATAGAATTATAGAACTGGAAGAGACCCCCAAGGGCCATTCAATCCAACTCAATTCTGCCACGCAGGAATCAAAGCACTCTCGACAGATAGTCATCCAGCCTCTGATTAAAAACCTCTAGAGAAGGAGATACCCCTCACTTTCCCAGCTTTCCAGATCCCATAGTCGTGGGAAACTCAACAAATATTCACCCACACCATCCTTCAGGGAAGGTGAGCCCAATGTCTTCTGCTGCCAGAGGAGAAACAGCAATCTTCTCAATCCATTGTCAAAATACACAGTAAGCATGCCTGATCACATTCTTTTGAGGTAAAAATCCTGTAAGTTCACATTATTGGGGCAGAAAATTCTAGTTATGGTTGGTTGTGATGTGCTTTCAACTAGTTTCTGACTTAGTCCTAAGGTCGTGTGGTTTTCTTGGCAATATTTGTTCAGAGTGGCTTTGGCTTTGCCTTCCTCTGAGGATGGAAGGATTTGACTTTTCCTAAGATCACCCATTGGGTTTCCGTGTCTGAGTATGGATTCAAACCTTGATCTCCAGAACTGTGTGAAATATACAGTTTGACATGAGGCGGATCTACACTAACCTCTATATAGACCTTTTTCACATTGGAGGTGCCACTATTATTGGAACACAGCATTTATTATCATTCAATAAATATTTTAAATCACGACTTCAATAAATTCAGTACTATCGTTATGTAATGGCCAGCTCTTTCAGATATTTCTCACTATCACTTTAATTTAAAGGTATTCTGATTAAACCTGATGCATGAGGATCAGAAACTAGGAAAATAACAATCTTTTGCTATGTGAATTGTCACATGTTTTTGATGCCTATGAGAATATGGTTTATTGTTGTGTGCCTTCAAGTTCTTTCTGAGCCATGGCTACCCTAAAATTTACTCTATCACAGGCGTTTTATTGGTAAGATTTGATCTCTTTGGGGTTGCCATTGCCTTCCTCCGAGAGCCCTTCCAGACAGGCTCCTATATCACAGGATCTGATCCCAGGTTTTCTATTTGTCCCAGATTATCTGGCAGTGTAGACTCATATAAACCATTTTAAAGCAGAAAACCTGGGATCAGGTCCTGGGATATAGCGGCCTGTCTGGAAGGGTCCTGAGGCTGGCCTCTTCCACCCAGCTGTATAAAATCCACATTGAACTGGATTATATGGCAGTGTGGACCCAGATAACCCAGTTCAAAGAAGGTATTGTGGATTATCTGAAAAGAAAAATGGGTTCCCTCAGAACTAAAAAGACCAGTATCCACTAATTGCAGTGATGCAAACGTATCTAAACACATAGAAGCCCAATGTATACATACAAATACAAATGTCAGTAAAACATAGAATTGTTACATTCACATTTAACAGAAATAATTTGTTCTTTTCTCAAAAGATGAAAAAAAATCTTTGTGTGTGGAAATAATACTTGTATCTTTACTGCAGACGAGTAGACTCTAAATCCTTGCACAGTAAATGTCCTATTTTCTTTATTACACAAGAGTAGACTCCAACATTCAACCAGTTTCGACTCACAGAAGTCTTCATCAGGTAGCTGGGTCTATAAACAATACATGTTATTAATATACACATATAGTTTGTCAACTGGAAATATCAAGTTTATAAGTTTTTTTTGTCGTATCAGGAGTGACTTGAGAAACTGCAAGCCGCTTCTGGTGTGAGAGAATTGGCCGTCTGCAAGGACGTTGCCCAGGGGATGATTTGATGTTTTTATCATCCTTGTGGGAGGCTTCTCTCATGTCCCCACATGAGGAGCTGGAGCTGATAGAGGGAGCTCATCCGCCTCTCCCCGGATTTGAACCTGCGACCTGTCAGTCTCCAGTCCTTCCAGCACAGGGTTTTAACCCACTGCGCCACTGGGGGCTCCAAGTGTATAAGTGTGTGTGTGTGTATATACACACACACGTTTTACTTATTTATCAAAAAAGCTCAATATTGGAGGCAAGTGGTCTATTGACAGTGCTCTTAAAAAGTGGACCCTGAAGGGAACATACATAGTGGCTGAAGGTAGTGCTACATAGTTACATGAATCATATACTATTCATAACAAAAATAAAAGTAAAATTTGTGATATTGTTAACATCACTAAATCCTCATGTTGCCCTCTGAGGCCCCATTTGCACTGCCATATAAAATCCAGATTATCTGTTTTGAATTGGATTATTTGGCAGTTTAGACTCATATAACCCAGTTCAAAGCAGATAACATGGATTAAATCTGTTTTGATAATCTGGATTATATGGCAGTGTAGAAGGCCCCATCTGCACGGCCATATAAAATCCAGATGATCTGTTTTGAACTGGATTATATGGCAATGTAGACTCATATAACCCAGTTCAAAGCAGATAATATGGATTAAAGCCCCATCTACATTGCCATATAAAATCCAGATCATCTGTCTTGAACTGGATTATGTAGCAGGGTAGACTAATATAATCCAGTTCAAAGCAGATAATCTGGATTGTATGTGGCAGTGTCAGTGGGGCCAGAGGAACAGAATATATTAGGTCTGTTTCATTGGAGACTTTGATTTGGAAAGTTGGAACACCCACACAGCCATATGCCATGGAGCCAGCCCTCCTTCAGCCTCTCCTCCTTCCCTTCCCCTCCCTTCCTGCACCAAGGAAACTACAGTTCCCAGAGTGCAGCTGGCTAGCCTGAGTCAGTGACGTCATGAGGAAGGGACGTTTTCATAGCGAGGGAGCCGGCTGCTGTGGCTGGAAGGGACTCCTGCCTGAAAGAGGATCCTCTGCACATTTCTCTTGGAGGGAAAGCAGCAGAGGGCCCTTGATCCTGGAGAGAAAGCATCAGAAGGACCAGAGGAGAGTGGTGGGAGTTGCAGTCCATGTAGGTCGTTGAACCCTGGAACAGCAACAAAAACTACTAGGCGCCTTGGAGGCCTGGGACTCCAAAGGGCCACAATGAAGGCAGCACCAGCCCTTGACCCAGGTCTGCACAACCTGTGGCCCTCCAGGTATATTGGACTTCAGCTCCCAGAGTTACTCACCCTTCAACAAGCTGGTCAGGGCTTCTGGGAGTTAGAGTCACAAACACCTGGAGGGCCACAGGTTGTGCAGGCCTGGATCGAGGGCTACTCTGGAGACCTGGCCCTCCAAAGCGCCTAGTTGGGGGGAATCTCTAGTGGCTTCATCCGTACCTAGGGAACTCAGACTTGGTCACGGTGGTCCACGCTCTCGTTACATCCAGGATAGACTACTGCAACACCCTCTACGTGGGGTTGCCTTTGAAGACTGCTCAGAAGCTTCAGATAGTCCAACGAGAGGCAGCCAGGTTAATAACTGGGGTGACATCCCATGTTACGCCAGCTCCATTGGCTGCCAGTTTGCTACTGGGCACAATTCAAAGTGCTGGCTTTGGCCTATAAAGCCCTAAAAGGCCCCAGCCCAATTTACCTGTCCGAACACATCTCTCTTTTAATTTGTAATGTGGAAAAGGAAGAGAGAACGAGCTCTCCCAGACAAACAGAATGGTAAAGCAAGCAAACTGCTAAAGAATGAAGTGGTTTCTCCAAAGGAGAATTCTATATCTGACCTTTTTTGCAGAAATAAGTATGAGTTACTTCAAGACAACTCGACTGATAGCTGCCTTGAGGTGATAACTGAAGACAAAGGGAAAATAGAGGCTGAAAGTAGCACTGTGATTAAACCCACAGAACATAAGGAGTCTATTTCTGTTTACGAACTGTTTGCTAAACAAATATTCTTAACTCTGGATACTCTAAACTTGATCTGCTCCAAGCTAGAATATATCCAGAAGAAACTAGAATGTACTAACTTTAATTATTATTACATCTCCCCCTATGAACCATTGCGGAGATTCAGACCCTCCAGAGAGACCCTGTGTTCCGTCCCATTATTGTCACAGGTGCAATTGGTAGGGATGAGAGACAGGGCCTTCTCCATGATTGCCCCCCCCCCCCCTCAGCTGTGGAACTCCCTCGTGAGATCAGATCGGTCCCCTCCTTCCTCTGGTAAAAAATTGGCTGTGGGACCAAGCTTTTGGGACAGGGCAATAACGCAGCAATAGGAAAGATTACCAGGCCAATTGGATTTGATGCTGATGACCAGGGCAGTTTTAAATGGTGTATTTTAATATTGAGATAAATGTTTTTAATGTTTATGTATGCATATATGAATTCTTGTCCCGGCATTGAATGTTTGCCATATATATGCTGTGCTCAGCTCTGAGTCCCCTTTGGGGTGAGAAGGGCGGAATATAAATGTTTTAAATAAATAAAATAAATAATTGATCCCATCAAAGAGCCCCCCTTCCTCTGCCCTACTTTGGAGGAGGCCTCTTTGAGGGGGGCTCCTGGGGACCCTATTGGGGCTTAAAGGGGGCTGAAGGGCAAGGAAGCAGAGGGGGAGCCAGCCCACCCTGGAGGAGGGGACCTTGCCTCCTTTGACTTTGACAAACACATCTCTCTGGGCCTTTCCAGACAGGCCCTATATCCCAGGCTCTGATCCCATGTTTTCTGCTTTAAACTGGATTATATGAGTCCACACTGCTAGATAATCTGGGATTAACAGAAAACCTAGGATCACATCCTGGAATATAGGGCCTGTCTGTGTGTGTTCTTATGTCCTCTGACTTGCATCCACAGAAATTTTGTTTATAAAGGTAGGCAGTGGCACCTTTTAAACTTTCAGGTGACAAAGCCTTCCAGGTAGTATGGCCTGCCTCTGTGATAGAGGTACATAAACACATGAGGCCAATCTGCACCAAATACTCAGTACGAAGGGCGCCTGGATTAGCTGTTGAGTGGGTTGCCACAGGCCCCTTTCCGCCTGAGAATCTTTTACATAACCCCAAGCACAGGCAATCCCCAAGTTACGAACAAGATAGGTTGTGTATGTTTGTTCTTTAGCCAAATTTGTATGTAAGCCAGAACAGGGACATTTTTAAAGTATAACTCCAGCCAAATACACACACACACACTTACTTATCTTTGGAGAGCATAGGAAAGCATTAACACCACTATGATTTTTGTTTTGCTGTCTGTGCCCCTGTTTAGAAGATTTCACTTCACTTTCTATCCCTGTGATAATTGGATTTTGAAAAATTTGGGAACAAGGATTGGTGAGAAATCTTCATGAAGACACCTTTTCCCCATGATAACTCTCAGGAGTGAATTTTCCTTCTTAGTGGTAAATTTCTCTCACCTGTTGTCTCATCCCCCAATTGTAACTATGAGTTATTTGTCATTTAGATGTTTGTAACATGGGGACTATCTGTATATAGGTATATAAAATAGGTATAAGAATCAAACACATTTACTAATAATCAACCAGCATTTGCAAGACTTCCTGACCAGGCTGATTTTCCTTTTAGTGCAGTACAGCAAAGACATTTTCTGTAGAATCCACTGTGAACAGTACCCAGTTTATTTATTTATTTATGGCATTTCTATGCCACCTTTCCCAGCCCAGAGGTGACTCAAGGCGGCTTACAACTGGCACAATTAGATGCCACAATATTCATAAAACACAATTAAAAACATTTAGTTCACATTATAAAAACCATGTAAAAACCATTAAAAACATATAATCACCAGTGACTTCCTATTAACTCATTTCCCCAAAACATTGTTAACAGATTGGAGTAAACAGGTGGCATTCAGAAATCTTTTATTGTTGCCCAATATTTCATGACCCCAATACTGAGCGAAATGGACCCCATTTGGGGTTCGGACCCATAGTTTAGGAATCAGTGATCCAGCAGACAGCATAATTGTGTCGTATGCAGTTCAGTTCTGTGGCTCACAATTTCTGTCTCTCTGCCCTCTTCCCTTATTAGACTGCTTCATCCAGAAGTGATGTCCTCTTCTGAGAATGCAGCTGGAAAAAGCGCCTGTGGAGGCAAGCCCGATCCACTGCAGACCCAAGGAGTCTCTTGCCAGGAAGACCCAAATGGGGGAAACTTGTGGGACACTTTTCAGCTCCTACAGATCGATGTGGGTTGTGAAAGCTCAAGGGACCAGGTTGCTTCAAACGAAAACGGATGTTCGGTATGTACAGTACTAAAGTTAGGCCTGTTTTGGGAACAGGATGAATAAATCCAGCCGTATGGGCTTATCTCTGGTCATTATTAGCTAGCAAACACATTTTAACCGGGATCCTGTTTTGCTTTGAACTGTAAGGCTGGAATTGTTGGCCTTGTGACTCACACAAATCAAGACACAATCCCTTTTTGCCAATCCAGCTGGCCCTCCACATTTGCAGGTTTCAGTTTTGCAGAGTTGATTATTCGTGGATTTGATTATAATGATGTCTCTGGGAATCTTGGGGTCTTCTGGTATGACTGTGTGATCAACTTTTGCTAGAATTTGATCATAAACTCATGCTGGAGAACTTAGCGATTCCTAGAGAGAATCACACTGTAGAGCAGAGGTCCGTAGACTTTTTAAGATGAGGGCCAGTTCAAGGTCCCTCAGACTGTTGACCCAGACTATAGTTCCAAAAAAAAAAAAAGAAAAAAGAAAAGAAAAGAAAAAGAAAACCATGAAAGAACAATACAATATTTAAAATGAAGAATAATTTTAACAATTTTTACCAGTATTTCAATGGTAACTGTGGGCTAGCTTTTGGCTGAAGAGATAGTCAAATTAATTAGGATTATTGTTGTTGTGTGCCTTCAAGTAATTTCAGACTTAGGGCAACCCTAAGTTTGGGGACCCCTGCCATAGAGTCACACTAGTGAATTGTAATTCCTAGGGAGGTGTTCTCTTGAGTTTAAAAAGTGTTTTTAAATAATTTACATTGTTCCTACTTCTGTAAGCCTTCTCCACCCCTAACCCTAGTGAATGTAGAGGGCTGGCTGTAGCAGCGAAACAAACAAACAAATAAAAACAAACAAACAACCCTTTGCAGTAGCTGTTTTCATTTAAAATATTTTCAATTATACTTCATTAAAAAAGATTCCAGATAAATGAAAGAAAACTCTTCATACAAATACATGAATAGAATACCATTGCATATATCAGTATATTATGATTAAAATAGAATATACAGCAACTTATTAAGCAAAATAAAATAACAAAAACACAAAAAAGACATACAATTTTTCAATTTTCTCCCAGCACACATGGGCTGTTCTTTTGCATTGAAGCACAAGTAAGCTCTTGTTCCCAAAGTTGTGCAAAAGTTTTAATACAAAAGTATTGTATTTAATACATTCAACATTCACAACTATTTAAAAATAGTTGCAGAAATAACTCCTCTGTATAGGGAAATTATTACTCCTAAGATTGTGGTAAAAGGGACGTAACTGGGGAAAACCGATCTTAACCCACTTAATTTTCACAGACACAAGACATGTCTTTTAGATGGACTGGTGCTAAATTATCAAACCTTTAAAATAAGTATAAGTTTAAATGTACAATTTTCATTTTTGACAATAAGATTGATTCGATCGCTCCTGAATATTATTCCCTCCTCTGCATTAATATGACTTAATTTTTTTCTTTTATTCATATTAAGAGAAATGTTTTGAGAAAACAGAGGCACTGGGAGAAGATTGTTTCAGCAAAGAAGAGCAAAAGAAAACTTGAGAGAGAAAGGCGAAAAGCAAAACATGCAGAAGGAAAAGGTATTGTATGTATATGATTTATATCCTGCCGACTCTCAAGATGCAATGTTATATGATTAAGATACATTACAGAACAGTTGAGTTAAAAATGGATTAAAAGCCTAGAAATTAAAATACCGAGGAATGGTTCAGAAACCAGCACCTATCCATCATGCATTGGGTCCTTCTTAATCCTTTGCGGAAAACTCTGCAGAATGGGAATGTCTTTAGCTGCTGGCAGAAGGCCAGTCTTTCCTCGCTTGGAGTTGCCTATCCTGGAACGGCTCCAAGAGGCACTCTCTGATGTTTACACCAGATGTTTTTCTGTAATGATGTAACTCAGAGAAGCCCCTCCCACTGATCCCTAAAGTGGCAGAAAATCACATGAGGGAATCCAGTCTGTCGAATAGCTTGGTCCTAAATACTATATTTCATTGCATAATAGTCATACTTTTTATCCCCCTTTTTTAAAGTGAAAAAAGGGAGATGCGACTATTATGCAAGGAAAAAAGTGCCTGGTTTTTGTATTAAAACAATAACTTTTAATTACGCCTGTGTTAAAAATTATTGAAGAGCGAGCAAGTTAAGCGGTGGATGGGTAGTTCTTTTGGCAAATGGGTGGGCGGTTGGGTGGGTGAGTGACTGAGTGAGTGATGTGCTCTTGCTAAAAGGGGGTGTGCAAGCAGGTAAAGCTCTGTAGGGCAGGGCAGCAAGACATGTGGAAGGGAATGCTAGACTGTTTACATCACAGAGGCTGCCTAAATCAAGGGTGCAACTGTTATGCGAGGAATCCTAAAATACCAAATTTGGGACCCAAAAAAAGGGGGGGGGGTGCAACTGTTACACTATAGTCACTATTATGTGGTGGAATACGTGTAGTTTAGGGAAGAGGTACCTGACTCTTCATCCTCCTGGTGTTTGTGACTTCCACTCTCAGAAGTCCCAGCTAGCTTGGCCAAATGTCAAGAATCCTGGGAGCTGAATTTCCAAGCACTTGGAGGACCTGAAGTTGAGAACCATTGGCTTAGGGCTTCATGGTTCATGAGCAGCCCTTGTAATGACGCCCAGAAAGAGACAAGCAGTTGGTCAAACTGGGGGTTGTATGATACAGATATAGGATCCCTATGCCTTTGTCTCCTAAAGGCTTTCCACTAGTTTTGTTTGTGGAACCTAAGGTTCTGTCAATGGTTCTTCATTGAGAAGATCAGTCATGGTGGACTAACATCTATAAAAGATAGGCTGCCCATGACTACTAACCTTTTCTTGCCAGGTACACTTGCAGAAGCTAATGATTTTGAAGTCTTGGTTTGTGTGGAGCACAAGTTGGTGTTTCTTGATATACAAGTCAATATGGGAAGGTGTTTCTAGTGCTAAAACTGTGTGTTCCACTGTTCTCTAATGTGTCTGATTTATCCCCCTCTTTATTTTTTTAATGCACCTTTTCTCAGGAATCAGTTTATTCGAAGACTATCTGCAGATATTGATAGTATCAAGAGTCAGGTTCAGGACAACGAAATCAGCTATAGCAGACCCAGTCCTTGTTTGAATCTATCTGAAATGTCTATCAGGTGTCCAAAACATTCAGATAATTGTGTTGGGTAATTTTAAAAAAAGGAAAGCATTTGAAAGGTAAAATGACAGCAACAGCACCAGTTTTAGCAGACCAGAAGCTTCTTAAACAGAGCAGTAGAGTGAATGATCTTCAGCAATACAGGAGTAGAGAAGCTTGAAAAGTTATCAAACAGAGGGCCTAGCTATCTAGCTATCTCTCTGGAGACATCTTGTCTCTCTCTATGCACACAGGAGAATAAAAATGGAGGAATAAGGGCCTTGCCATCTATATAAATAAAAATGTAATATTCGTTTGTGGGATTAACATAACTCAAAAACCACTGGACGAATTGACACCAAGTTTGGACAGAATACACCTATCAGGCCAACGAGTGACTATCACTAAAAAACAAAACAAAACAAAAACACTGAAATACACAGCAGAAGAGACTTAAAAAGCGCCAAAACAAAAAAAAATGCATTACAACGCATGCTCAAAACTACATATACACACAAACATATATACACATATACACAAATATATATACACACACATATACACATATATATACACACACAAAACACATATACACAGACTGGGCCACAGCAACGCGTGGCAGGGAACAGCTATTGCAGTCATAAAACTTTGAATAAAAAGATGCATGTCCCTGAGAAGTACCAGTCTAACAAACAGGAGATGGCAGGAGAGAAAAAGAGAGACAGACAAAGAGGGCAATGAAGGAAGGGCTTTCCCTCTTACCTCCCTCTACTGCCTATTTTCTTGATGAGGATTATAAACTTGTATAGGATGTGGTTGAGTTCCAACAGATTGGACCTCAAGAAGGTGTAATGCATTCATGTTTTGAAATATTTTGTAAGATACACAGTTATTTGCATATGAATTAGGTTAAAATACATATAGGCAGCTCTGATGGGGCAAAGCTGTGTCATGTAGTTTCTTGGGCTGTGAGCATTTTTAAATACCATGAGCATTTTAAAGTTGACACATTTAATTGGGCTCCTGATGAGGACTGGATTTTCATGTGTACCTTTTTCATCCATTTCCCGTTTTGTCTGCTTTTTAGGTTCTGCTCAACAGCTCAGTAAGCGGGAACTAAAAGTGATTGCAAAAGAGCGCCTTCTGAGTGCCAGAGAAACGGGCCCTTGGCTGTGTATTGATTTGAGTATGACCGCTAACATGACTCATAAGGTAGTTGTTCCCACTGATCCGTTTAAATGTTACCCCCAGCCTTTCACATTTGGTTCTTATGAGTCTCTGCCCTTCTATGGAGCTGCACCTTTAGAAAGCTGCAAGCCACAAAGGTGCATTCAGCAGCATTAGGTGCTGAACCTGCTGTTGGGTAGGTAGTATCTCGGCTGAATGGTTCCTTTGATTGGAAAGCAACAGTAATAAACCCACCTTCACATTCCACATTAGAGCCACACTACTTTTGTTATCAGAATTATCAGAATTACTACTAAAACTATTATTATTTATACCTCACTTTTTCTCTCCAAAAAGGAGACTCAAAGTGGATTACAGTAAAACCTATACAATTTATAACCTGAAAAACATACATACATTAAATTAGAATGATTAAATATTAATGATATTAATGCCTGGGGCCATTATTTATAAGAAATGTTTGGAATTTCAAATTTTGAGTGGATTTTGGAATATCTGTATTTGCATATACATACATGCATACATCTTGGTGATGGGACCCAAGTCTAAACATGAACTTCATTTCTGTTTGATGTCACTTTATACACATAGCTGGAAGGTAATTTTATACAATGTTTTCAAAATAAATTTCTATGTGAAAGAAAAGTTGTGTATATTGAACCCCCAGAAAGCAAAAGGGTCACTATTTCAGTTACCCATGTGTGGACCATTTTGGGTTTTGAAATATTTTGGATTCCCCCCCCCCCCCCCAGATTTTTGTGTGTGTCAGAATTGACTTGTGAAACTGCAAGTTGCTTCTGGTATGAGAAAATTGGMCAGTCCTTGGGTTAGTAGTGAATCTGGCTTTATATAAGATATTTAGGCCAGGGAGTGCTGAGACTGCTTCTAAACAGATTTCTTTTTCTTTTTTGTCCTCATGGAAGGAAACAAGCCGACTTGCCACCCAAATAAGGCGGCTCTATGGGTCTAACAAGAAAGCTGAGAGGCCTTTTTGGGTCTCCCTCACGGGGTTTGTAGAAAACAGCCCAATTTATGAAGCATGCCTAAGGATGAATGATGGATTTGCTAATTATCTTGTAAGTACCTCCTTCCCCTGCACAAAACAAGCATGTCATATTCTGATGTGAGAACACAACCAATTCATCTAAGCCAAAATGATACCATTTGGATGCTCTGTGTCCCATTGCTTTAGCCTGATACTTAAGTAAATCTGCTTAATAACAGATGATGTGGCAGCAGTCTGAAGTGGTTGACCTCCCTCTACAACTTTTAGCCAAAAACCTATGCATACTTCCAAGGGAAAGCCCATTAAAATCAATGAGGATTACTTCTGAGTTCACATGCATAGGAGTGTGCTGTCTTACACCATTTAGGGCTCACATGACCAGTGTGACTGGTGTTGCTGATACAGCAGGCAGTATAAGTTGATAGCATAGGACAGCCCAGAAGAGGTAAATTCTTGGTGTCTTGGTTTTTAGGCCTTTTTTGGAGTTATTTGGTGCACTGATTCAGAAAATTGCATTAATAATAATAATACTGTATATTTTTGAGTATAAGCCAAGTTTTTCAGTCCTTTTTTTAGGCTGAAAAAGCCTCTCTTGGCTTATACTCAAGTCAAGGTTATTTATTATGTTACTCTGTTGTTGTTATTATTATTATGACATTTATATTATTTTACTCTATTATTATTTTATTACATTTATTATTTTACTCTAATTATTATTATATTTATTATTTTACTCTATTATTACTGTTATTATTACATTTTGATTATTTTACTCTATTATTATCATTATTACATTTATTATTTTACTCTATTACTAGCTGTCCCCTGCCACGCATTGCTGTGCCCCAGTCTGTGTTTATGTGTTTTGTGTGTGTATATGTGAGTGTATATATTTGTGTATTTGTGTATGTGTGTTTGCATATATATGTGTGGTTTTATGCATTGTTGTAATATAATTTTTGTTTTTTGGCTTTTTAAGTTTCTTTGTTATTATTATTACATTTATTATTTTACTCTCTGTACTATTATTGGGAGCCCCTGGTGGCGCAGTGGGTTAAAGCGCTGAGCTGTTCAGCTTGTCGACCGAAAGGTCGCAGGTTCGATTCCGGGGAGTGGCGTGAGCTTCCGCTGTCAGGCCTAGCTTCTGCCAACCTAACAGTTCAAAAACATGCAAATGTGAGTAGATCAATTGGTACTGCTCTGGCAGGAAGGAAACGGCACTCCATGCAGTCATGCCAGCCACATGACCGTAGAGGTGTCTATGGACAACGCCGGCTCTTTTGCTTAGAAATGGAGATGAGCATCACACCCCAGAGTCAGACATAACTGGACTTAATGTCAGGGGACAACCTTTACCTTTTTTTACTATTATTGGAAGGATACGTAAGCTCATTTACATTGAAGAAGGTTAGGATAATGGTTTAATCAAAGTTGGACAGTCTTATCTTAAATTGCAGTTTTGTGTAAATATTCAAAAACATTTACCCTACTGATGCCTCAATTAATGTAATTTTATTGATATCTATTTTTATTTTGAAATTTACCAGTAGCTGTTGCATTTCCCACCCTCTGCTTATACTCGAGTCAATACATTTTCCCAGTTTTTTGTGGTAAAATAGGTGCCTCGGCTTATATTTGGGTTGGCTTATACTCAAGTATATACGGTTATAAAAACTTTATTTGTATCCCACCCCTCTCCCCGAGGGGACTCAGAACAGCTTACAACAAGGTATCAATGGTCTACAACATCAGATAGTCCACAACAGCTCTAGGTTCTTAGATATGGTTATCATGGTTTTCTATGAGTGAGCAGATGGCATCTGTCATGTGTTATGTATCTCAAAACTTAGAGCTGATAAGGGATAACTGATACCATTTTTGGAATCAGCAGGTAAAATATACCCAGAAACAGGGCTAACATTTGAGGCACCAAAATGTGTGTTGGGCAGTGTAGTTGGCTATGAGCATGGGGCAAATGGACACATTGCTACAACTCAGGTCAGTCTTTCTCTATCCCTTCTTTAGTCTGCAAAATAACAACAAACATTCAGCTAGACAGAAGACAAGAAAAGAAGTGGGACTGCCCTTAACTCTCCTAAAAAATATTTTGTAAAAATGAGCTTTTTTTGACAGAATTTGTTGACTGAGTTATGTCTGTATTGTGGAAATAGTAGTCCCAGATTGCTTTAACTGTATGAGCTATTGCACAATGAGACAGATTACATTGGAAGGTAGTGAATTCTCCTTTCTTTGGATTTTAAAGCAGAGGCTGAGTGGCTACCAACTGGGAATGGTTCCAGAACAATGTATGTGAAGTAACAGAAGCCTGGACTAGATAACTTTTGAGATCTCTGCCAGTGGATTTCTTGGCTGGGAGGTGCTGGACATTGAAATAAAAATTACTTTTCCTAAAATCTTATTCCCAAATAATATTCCGAAGTTCTGTTTCTTTCTAACCAGCACGGTCCTGAAGGATTTGTGCAATTCCAGTTAATGTTTCTCCCATTATTTTTCAGATGGATGTTACTCCAGAGAGTTATCTGGACCTGTTTCCTTCAGAAACAATTGTTTACCTCACCCCAGATGCTGAGAATGGTATGTTTCAGCTTTGGTTTAATAGACTCTCATAAAGGCTTTTGCTTATTTGAAAGGAGTCATAGTGATCCTAGAGATTTAGATTCTTTCTTGGAGTGCATTTCAAGTCAAATCTGCACCAACCACTGTAGCTATTTTGTGTCTTATGTTCCAATCTTTTGCATAAAGCACCGAACTCTCCCCTCCCATCTTGAAAAGCACAGAACAAACAAACATTCCTTCATGTGCTGATTCAGCATGCTTTTATCACAATCAAACAGGATTTTCTGCAGTGTATGGTTCTATCCCCAGGCTGTGTTCTCACAAAATAAAGACTGTCCTCTAAACTTGAACCTCTGGATTTTGCTGAACTATAACCCGATCATGGAGGCTTGACCTGTTGAAAATTGTAGGTCATCTTCACCTGGAGGGCTGTATTTTGCCTTCCTTTATCACCTTCAAAAAAAATGAATGTCAGTATCTCCTGCAGAAAATAACACAGATAAGTATCTGGACCAGATAGTAGATTACCTGTGCTAAGTTTACCGTGAACCATGCTTGGAAGAAAACATTACTGATTTCTCCATTACTGTTGCTGATACTTTTGTATACGCATATCACTGATTTTACATATTCATACACCTTTTGTGTTCCAGCTCTTGAGGAGGTGGATCCGCACAAAGTATATATCCTTGGAGGCTTGGTGGATGAAAGCATTCAAAAGGCAAGTATCTTTTAGATAAGAGTTTATATTTTTAATACAAATCTTTCAATGTTACCAAATATAAGATAAGTCTGACTGTAGTTGTTATCAGAGCTTTAAGTGCTACACTTTTCAGAAATAATGTTGAACCCATGCTTTTAAGTTGAGTGACTCCTGTCTCTTTAATAACTTGTTGTTGTTTATTTGTTCAGTCACTTCCGACAATTTGTGACCTCATGGACCAGCTCACACCAGAGCTCCCTGTTGGCTATGGCCATCCCCATTTCCTTCAAGGTCAATCCAGTCACTTCAAGGATGCCATCCATCTTGCCCTTGGTCGGCCCCTCTTCTTTTTTCCTTCCATTTTCCCCAGCCTCATTATCTTCTCCAAGCTTTCCTGTCTTCTCATGATGTAGCCAAAGTACTTCATCTTTGTCTCTACTGTCCTGAACTAGAGCTGGAAATGAGACAACCAAATTGTGTTCATTCTTACAGCTGATATAGCCATGAGGAGGCTTCAGTCTGTGCTATTTTACTTTATTTGTGTTATTTTATTTTATTTTGTGTGTTGATAGTGATTGTTTTATAATTTTTAAGCTATATTGTTTTATACTCATGTATAGTTTATGTTATATACTGCACCACAGTGCCTTGTAAGCCACCCCAAGTCCCTTTTGGGAGATGGTGGCAGGATACAAATAAAGATTATTATTATTATAATTATAATTATAATTATTATTATTATTATTATTGTTATCTCTGAGAAGATTAATACACAGAAATTAGATCACTATGCTGATTGTTATATTGGATCACATGTCGGACACTTCCCAAATGTCTAGGACTGTGTGATGTATTGGCAAATAATGCGTGCAGATCCCAGTAGGGTGGCCTTTTCCAGCTGACATATGGTAATTTTGTCAGCGCTGATTGTGTTTCAAGTGCAGGCCAAGGTCTTTAGGCACTGCACCCAGTGTTCCGATCACCACTGGGACCACCTTGACTGGCTTGTGCCACATTATTATTATTATTATTATTATTATTATTATTATTATTATTGCATTCGTTGGAACCTGTAGGAAGTGCCCTGCATGAGCATTTTATGTATTTTTTTCGTTTGATCTGATTTGCTCTTTTAGAGCCTTACCTTGCACAAAGCCCAAAGAGAGCATCTGCAGACAGTACGGTTGCCGATCCAAGAGTACATGGTAAAGAACACCAATGCAAAGAACTATCACTCAACGACACTGGCAGTTAACCAAGGTGGGTATGTTTGCACTGTTTGGCAAAAACTCACTGGAGTGCATGTTTCATGCAACCCGCCACTAACATTATTCCAGTGCAAGTTACAGGGCCCTTTAACCCACTACACATTGCTTTCACTTTGACTGCCATGGCAATGTTCTGAGATTTGCTGTTTATGAATTTTTAGCCAAAAAACTCTTCTAGTGGCCCACAAAACTACAAAGCCTCTCATATTGACTATGCTGGCTAGACTTGATGGAAGCTGCATGCCTACAGCATGCAGGGAAGCACAGGTGTCCCACTCCTGGTCCAATATATGGAAGGCCTCCAAAAGGAGGTAGTCTGTTTCAGACCACGATGACTAAAAATAGCAAGTCTTGGCCTTGTTCTCTACTGATATTCTAACCCTCTTCTAGAGACCAAGATGGGATAGTGTCTGAAGCAAAATGATGCCATGACTGTATCTTATTCAGTGCCAAGTCCCATTTACCTCTGCAATAACTAAAACATTTGTCTTGCAGTTTTTGATGCCCTGTTGTGTTTTTATGCGACCAAGAGCTGGGAAGAAGCCCTCAAAGCTGCAGTTTCTCCTGGAAAAGGTTATGTCCTTCGGGAGGAGACCATTTGAAAGATGCAAGCTGCAAACGTGGGATAAAGTTCAAAGAAACTTGCACATTGTTGGATTGACTCCAAAGTTAGATTTTGTTTCTATTTGTGGACCAGCCAGACTACCTTTTTTATACCCAACTAGATCACCCCTGCCTTATTTGACCAAGTCTATGAATACATAAAATGAATAATTAACTTTAAAATTATTTTGGCTTATTTGTTTATTTATTGGGTTGCCAACTCACTTTTCACCTCAAAATGAGAATCAACCCACTGTAGAATTATAGAAAAAAATACTATTTTTATTACATTTTAATTTTTAAGATACAGTTAAAAGAGGCAGGAACAACAATCATAACAGAATCAAGTCATAGACACAATTTAAAATAATGAAAGCACAACAAACCCTAGAAAAATATACAGCAGGCAATCTAGTTTCAAAGGTATTAGGGACAAAGTTTTTTTTTTATTGTGTCAGAAGCAACTTGAGAACATATTGCAAGTCGCTTCTATTGTGAGAGAATTGGCTATCTACAGAGACGTTGCCCAGGGGACTCCCGGATGTGTTACCATCCTGCTGGAGGGCTTCTGTCATATCCCTGCAAGCTAGAGCTGACAGACGGGAGCTCACCCCGTCCCACGGATTCAAACCGGCAACCTTCAGGTCAGCAACCCAACCTTCAGGTCAGCATTCCAGCTGGCACAGGGGTTTGTGCCACTGTAGCAAAGTAAAGGTAAGAAACAGTAAATTAAAAAAAATACTATTTTTTTAAACTGATAGAAAAGTTCTCTGGAATCTCTAGGACTTTCATTGTGACTCTGGGCAACTTCTGTTGAGTTGGGTGTCTTAGGGTTTCTGAGAGAGAGTGTGTGTATTGATCAAATCCAGAAATCATCACAGAATGTGGAGGGCCTTTGTACAGCCGCTGGAGTCATGATATAGTATGTAGTATTAGGCATATTTTAATTGTATTTCTCAAGCAACTAGAAATTACATTTGTGCAGCATCAGCCTAATCCCTACTGGTCTCTGGTTGACTGAAAATCCATTATAGTATGAACTATATAGGAATACAGGCAGTCCCTGAGTTACAAATGACTCATAGTTACAAACGGGGGTGCGACAACAGGAAGTGAGAGGAATCTACCCCTTGGTAGGGTTATTCACTCCTGAAAGAGTTATCATCAGGAAAAGGTGTCTCCACAGAAACTTTTATCACCAATCCTTGTTTCCATAACAAGTCAGTTTTTTCAAATTGTATTATCACAGAGACAGAAACTGAAATCTTCTGAACAGGGGCACAGACAGCAACGCAAGTACCACAGGGGTGTTAACCCTTCTCTATATGATATATACATACATATATATCTATATAAATAAAAATGTAATGCTTGTTTGTGGGATTAACACAACTCAAAAACCACTGGCGAATTGACACCAAATTTGGACACAGGACACCTACAAGTGACCATCACTCATAAAAACACTGAAAAACAGAAGGGATTAAAGACGGTGTGCAGCACGTGTGCAAAAACAACTCCCCCTGACAAGCAAAACACAATAGCATATCCACACACTCTTCCGGACTACAGCTCCCAGCATCCCCTAGACCAGGCCCTTTAGGAGAGGAGGAGGATCCAAATGCACTGCTTCCAAGCTGCACGTTTTCTTCTCCTTGGATTTCTTTGAGAGCATCCCAATCCTGCATATTTCCAATTTCCTATTCCTAGACTGCAACTCCCAGCAAGATAAGATAGATAGATTAGATAGAGATAGATAGTAGGTAGATAAATTGGTCAGGAGGATTGCTAGGAGTTGCAGTCCAAGAATAGGTAGAGAAGGAGGAAAGGAGAGAAAGTGGAAGGGAAAGAAAAAGGGGGAAGGAAGGGAAGAGGAGGAAGGAAGGAGAGAAGGAAAGACTAAAAGGGAGGGAAGGAAGGAGCGAAAGAAAGAAGGAGAGGAAGAGGGAGGGAAGGTTGGCCACAGCAATGCGTGGTGGGTACAGCTAGTGTGTGTGTACACACACATACACACAGAGAGAGAGAGGGAGGGAGAAAGAGGGAGAGATGGAGTTACACTTAAAAATGTACCTGTTCTAACTTGCATACAAATTCAACTTTAAGATCACCTGGGGAGGCCCTGCTCTCGATCCCACCTGCGTCACAAACATGTTTGGTGGGGACAAGACACAGGGCCTTCTCAGTGGTGGCCCCTCAGCTATGGAAAGCCCTTCCTGGGGACATTGGATCAGCCTCCTCCCCCTTAACATTTCGGAAGAGAGCCAAAACTTGAGATTTTGACCATTAATACCTCTAAAAGGAGCAAGTGTTTGAAAATGCAAGGCAAAAGACATAGGAATTGGAATGACTGGATGATGAGATGGGACAATGTTTTTATTAGGAGACGCAAATGATGTATGCTTTTAGTATTCTTATTATAGTTTTATATTATGTGTTAATGTTTTAAAACGTTTTATGGTGTTTTGGGGCATCAAATCGTTGCCATTGTAAACCACCCTGAGTCATCTAAGGGTTGAGAAGGGCATGGTAAATAAATAAATAAACTTACCAACAAACCTACAGAACCTAGCTTGTTTGTAACTTGCAGATTGCCTGTATAGCTGGTGACAACATGCAAAATAATAGTAGCCAAAATAAGAATTAGCAGAAAGATGCCTGAGGTGCTTTGGTTCCCTTAATTTCTCTCCTAAAGGCAACCATGTTCTTCTCTATGTCATCCCTAAGAAAAGAGCAAAGCCACAAGCCTTCCTTTCCCTTGCCCGCACTAGAGAGCGCTCACTTGCAGAGAATTTGAGCACCGCCTGCTGCCTGCAGTCACCATTGCAGTCAGATTTTGCTTCTCAGCTGGAAGGCAGACCAGTTAGATTGGGAAGAAGTCATCCCAGTTGCTTCCCCTTTTCAGGCTTAGCAAGAAGGTCAAAAGGGCTTCAGAGCTCAGAGCAGTGAAACCAGGGGGAATCTACTCTGTTGAGGTTTTGACCACCTTTTAACTGCCATGGCTAAATGCTATGGAATTATGAGAGTTGTCGTATTGCAAGGTCTTTAGCCTTCTCTGCCAAAGAGTACTGGGGCCTCACCAAACTACATATCCCCATGAGTCCATAGCACTGAGCCATGGCATTTAAAGTGGGGTCAAACTGCATTAATTCTAGATGCAACCATAGAGTCCTCTTTCCCTCATTGCAGGAAAGACAAGGAAAGAACGTATAGCACTTTCAGAAGTAGCAGGAGAAGACTGCAGCTTTACTCAAAAGTAAATTTATTATTATTTATTATTATTTATTTCTTTACAGTATTTATATTCCGCCCTTCTCACCCCGCAAGGGACTAAGGGCGGATTACAATGTACATATACATGGCAAACATTCAATGCCATAAACACGCAACATATATAGACAGACACACAAAGGCTATTTAACATTCTGACTTCTGACCACCAGGGGAGCTGTCGCTTCTTCATTCTTTGCATACTTCCTGGAGATTTTTATGACCTTGTAAATCAGTTAAATTAGCCTCCCCACAAATTGCGGTATAAATTGTGTAGCTTTCTAAATGTTGGGATGCAGCTCCCAGCATTCCTAATTCTGGAGTGTTGGAGCCTTGCAATATCTTGAGATTTTGACCATTAATACCTTTAAAAGGACAAGGACCTCTTTATCCATCTATTTGGGAGGCTGACACACAATTAGAGAAAAGCCATACTCTACTTGTTACAAGCTCTCCCCATATCAAGGCTGCCTTCTGATGACCGGGACGAATGGAGGGAAATCGTAACGGACAGATACGGGGCACACAACTTTTAACAGCAGGACAACAATAAAAATACAGGTCTTCATTGCTGTCTCTCTAGTGATCACTTTTCCTCCCAGGATTGTTATGTTTTCTAATCTTGCTCTAGAGCAGGTATTGGCAAACCCAGGCCTGGGGGCTGGATGCAGCCCCCTGGACTCTTCTCAGGCCCTCCTCTCTCACACCATCCTATTCTTCCTTCCTTYTCTCTCTCTTTCTTTGCCCTTCTTTTCTCCCTCTTTCCCTCTCTCTCTTTATCCTTCCTTCCCTTTTGTCTTTCCTTCCTTTTCTCTTTCCTCCCACCCACCCACCCACCCTCCCTTTGTCCATTCCCTTCCACCCTTCCTTCCATCCATTCTTCCTCCCTTTCTTCCTTCTCTTTTTCCTTCCTCCTTTTCTCCTAGAATCATAGAGCTGGAAGTCACGTCATGGGCCATCCAGTCCAACCCTATTCTGCCAAGAAGCAGGAAAACWGCATTCAAAGCACCCCCGACAGATGGCCATCCAGCCTCTGTTTAAAAGCCTTCAAAGAAGGAGCCTCCACCACACTCCGGGGCAGAGAGTTCCACTGCTGAACAGCTCTCACAGTCAGGAAGTTCTTCTTAATGTTCAGGTGAAATCTCSTTTYTTGTAGTTTGAAGCCATTGTTCCKCGTCCTAGTCTCCTGAGGGTCTCCTAAACAGCTGGGAAAAGAGAAAGTAGAGAGGGAACATGAGAACCACGTTTTAAGATTTAAAAGTGTCCCATTGAGGAGGGAGGGGGGGGACTGACTTTTTGCTGCTCTAGAGATCAGGGGACAAGGGAGCGATGGTTTTAAATGGCAGGGAAAGAGAGTTGACTGAAAAGATTAGGAAGAACCTTCCTGAGAGTAAGAGCTATTGGAGAGTGGCATAGTCATCCTTGGAGTGTGGTGGAGTCTCCTCTGGAGGCTTTTCTGCAGAAAGTGTCTATTGGGAGTGCTTCGATTGTGCCTTCTTGCATGGCAGGGGGTTGGACTGGGTGGCCCTTAGGGTTCTCTTCCAGCTCTAGGATTCTAGGATTATATATCAGGAGTAGGCAATACAGGGTCTAATGGATACACTTTCTCTCTCCCGTCCACCATCTCATCCTGACCAAGAACAACCCTTTTTGGATCCAAACGTTTCCCATCTTTCCTTCACTCTCTACCTCTGAAAGAGAAGAGGAAGAGGAGGAAAGGAGAGGGAGGGGACTTGGGGAGAACCCCCTCCTTCCCGCCCCCAACCCCATTCCACCCTGGCCCACCATGTGGCGTCCAAGTTAGAAAGTTTGCCCATGCCTCCTCTAGAGCATCTGAAGACAGGAAGGTTTCTGAAAGAGTAACCCATCTCCAGTTAAGTGTAATTCTGCTGTTTTTTATATGAATTTGTAGAATACAG